TGTGCACCTTTCAAATTGTGCTTGTCTTTTTGTTCACGTATTTATGCGTGAGAATAGCGCAGATGTACCATAAACGTCGTACTAGGTGCGAGCTAGCCTATCCCCACCTCAAAGGTGTCATTCTCTATTCATATCACTAACTGATGCCAAGAAGTGTGTACTGTTTATACTCGTATTAATGCCCGCACGCGATTGGCTGGTATATGATGAGGGCGGACAGACGGCTAGCAATGTGGAGAGTAAATCGCAAAATCGACACCAACCTAGATGCTACCATTGCAAAATTGACACCAGTCGCAATACCAGCACCACTTCTGGATGGAATTATTGCGTACCACGCTATTTTATGGCCCAAATTGTTAACCCTTTATCCTTAATACTCACACTAAATACAAAAGAAGGTCTACCCCCCCCCTCAAGGGCACCCACTTTCGTCGGAGATCGTCTATAGCTCGACCTAGGACTCTGTGGGGCATGATTAAATGAGGCCTCTTCCAAAGTCGCGCCGTTTACGAAGAGGAGATCAGTAGGGGACGACGCACGGAAAATGGCTGTAAACCATCATTGTGTTGTCTAAATGTAAATTTAGAATCGTTCTAAGTGGCACTTGACTGTGCGGCATTCGTGATTGATCGGACATTAGAATTATGTGTTTTCAGTTCAATCGTAGTAAAGCCGAAGGAACCACAATTATGAGACCTTACTTATTAGCCACGTTATCATTACACTCTTAACGTTATTCGGTCGAAGTGTGTGTGAAACAAGAATATTGCGTTTATCGTGTATTTGGTCGTGTCGACTACTTGTACCTTCGAATCATAGGGGAAGAAGCCATGGCTATCTTCGTTTCCTCGCCATCAGATGGTCGTGCGAGCGCGTTCGAAGGTCCGTGGAAACATTAAATCAGACTAGATTGCTGCTCTTGAGTGCACGGTTGCCGCAGCAACTACGCATGTTGTGCGTAGTTGCTGCGGCAACCGTGCACTCAAAAGCAGCAAGCGTCTCTCATGGTCCACAAATACCGATATAAGAGGACTTAGGAAATGTTATTCTACGGCAGCGTACAATGAACATATCGATGGCGCCGTTGATACTAACAGCAATGTACAATCCTCAGGCACTATCAGGTACCGAGGTTTTCCATCAAGATCGAGCAACACTATACGGCAAGAAGTGTCTTATGATCCATATACACGAAATGCTCTCTTTACAACGATTCCATTTTTTTAATTGATGCGATGTCACGAAGAGCTTTGATCTACATCTTTAGTTTAAGAACATGAAAATTAATCACCGCTCGGGGATTCGCTGCCGAAAGGATGTAGAGAGTGGAGGTCTCCGCCGTGTTCAATTGAAAAGCCATCAATGAATCAGAAACGTCACCCACGTAAATTTTATTTGCAGCTAACTTTTCGTTTTCATGGACAGCAGAGTTCGCATGGTGGCGAATTGCTGTCCTGTTGTGCCCCAATTACGTGCAGGCGCGGTATTTGTAAGTAAAGAAGAACTCGTCTTCACTGAACTTTCGTTCCTTCTTTTTTGCTGGCGTCTATCATAATTTAGTACCGTGGAGCGTTGATAACGAATGTAGTATTTCTTGTACTTACAACAACTTTTGATGTTTTACCCATGAGACCCTGCCTTAAGTTTTTAGTATTTGCGAGAGATGGAACGCATATGTCACATCGGTTGTAGACCACAAATGATCGAGTACAGCAAAGCGGTGGTGGCACGGCAAATCCATACGAGCGAAGGTTGAATGTGAACCTTTATAAGCTTCGAGTTCGACGCGCCCATACTTGGAGTATCCAAATATGGGTGCGCACTTAAAGTATCCTTGTATTGTGGCGAACCATACATCAAGCAACAATCTAGACACTGCTTAATCGCCCGCGGCAGCATGCTCGCTTTGTTAAAGTGCTTGCAAGTGTGAAGTGACTGTAAGCTTCTGCTCTGACCACTGCTTAATCAAATATTGACGCATACTAAACTTGTTTGTAGCGGTGTTTGTCAAAATACAATTACTTCGAGAGGGGCTGCATCGCAAATACCTTTGACTAGTAGAGAACGGTTGTCACTTTCCACAAAGATAGTCGTGCGTCACTTAAAAAGCAGGCATGGTGTCATGATGGTACGAGAGTATTATGTTGGTGCGTGAGTGTGCTTGTGCTCTCTCCTGTGTTTAATGTCATGTTATATGTACTGGTCGCGTACCCTTATAACCAGCTATCTCCTGGATATTGGCATACACTGGTAGAAAAAAGGGTCGATCACTTAATAATAGTCCGTGACATCACTTTCAAACTTGGCCCGCAGCGCCGAAATCGCAGTATTAAAGTCGATCTCAGTCTCTGCGGACTAGATTTTCCACACATCAATCCCGATTTCAGTTCTTTAGAATTAAAACCTTTGCTTGATGTTGCGCATAAATGTGGATCGTACAAAATCATATTTAAACACCCATTACAGTCGTTAACCAAACTGGCTTAACATAACGTTGAATGTGTACACTATCACACATAACTACGACATTATCGAGGTCGGTTCCGGATTCAATGAAATGGAGAAAATTAGCACTATGTTGTTTGTTTTTTTAACATGCAAGAACGCCATCGCAAGCGCGCCATTAACCGTTTCCGTCTCCTCCAACGATAGAAAGTATTACGTCGTCGTACTTACTATGGGGCGAATGTACGCCATCGAATTTCGACACTGGCACATTGTAACAATGGCTACTGATAGACGCACCAAAGGCCACAAATTATTGATAAAAGCGGTTGCCTTGGTATACTTCGAGTGCAACATTGCGGGCTTTATTAACGCGCCTCAACTCCACCAAGTGCGGGGCAAGGAGCGAGAAAGATGACCGCTACTGCCCATCCATCCATTCGCCGCTTCCTTAGCTCTGCGGAGCTTGTCACGATAATGCTGGAGATTAGTTTCACTACTAACTTGGACAAGCGCCGCAATCGCCTTTGGCTTCATGGCTTTGTCGCCCCTGACAGCTGCCTTAAAAGTTTGCAGCAGCCAAACTTTTCCAGATGACGGTTTCGTAATCACCCATAAACACATTATCGTGGCTAATCGTGATTGTCGAAACGTAGTGCTCTGGAGATGATCCAAAACTCTTTTGATTCGTCACGCGAACATCAGACGAGCATCCATCCTGTGAGCACACTTAAGTTCTGCTTTACCGCCACCTTTCTATACCTTGCACTGCCTATTCTGGTCAAAACAAAAGCCTTTTATGAACATCGTTGCGTCAGCCCGCGTCTGTAATATCTGCCCAAGGACCAGTATAGTGGCACCATGAATTGCGCCCAAATCGATTGCTTCCATTTTGCGGGACGCCTCGTTTCAGTAATTGCGAGCCCGAAGGGTAAAGCTTTAAGTTACTGTGCGCAAGGTTGAGGGCCGGTTATATTGTACTTATCTGTGTGTGTCTGTGTTTAACGCGGTAGGTGTTACCCTACCCGTACGAAGTGCGATATAGCCCCCCGTAGGCATACGTATATTCGGAGTCACTAGGTCACTATTGCGGTACTACAGTGACCTAGCCAAAAGGTTATTTGGATGCATGTGATTGGCTTAAAATCGGTTAAAGGTGAAAACGATCACATAAACAAATGGTCGACGCTTATGAGCAAAGGCTGATATATTGCCTACGTATACTGTACTAGGTTAATATAGACAGTGATAGGATCACACTCCTTCTTTAGTGATTGCTACTGTTTACAGTGTTTTGCACGTGATTCAGCTCTATGAACTGAATCACTTGTGTTAAAGGGCGAGCTCCAGAGCTTGCTTCCCTATCTTATTTATTTTATGTCGAATTTACTCTTGACACCAGAAATTTTAAATTGATCATTTACAGGACCACAAATAGCGTGGTACAAATTGATTCCTTCCCGAAAGGGTGCTGGTTATGCGACTTGTGCCGATTTTGCAATGTTTGTATCTGCTGATGCCGGTTTTGCGATCTACTCTATGCTGATTACTAGGGGCAGCTAAATCCTTGCACATTTCCGAAATAGTGAGTGTGGGTGGTCTTGACCTGGATACTTGCAATAGGGAGAGGGTAAGGTCACACTTATCTCTCGATATCAGTAGAAGCTTTTTCCTCACAATTGCTCTTCATAGTGATATTGATGTATCGTGAACCTCATCTTGTGGTAGAAGGTGTTACCGAGAAGGGTGTGTCTACCTTTTTTTACATTCGTCCCTTTAGAACATCAACAACAAGACGTGCGTTGCACGCACAAAGACCAAGAATACACAACCCACTTCCTAGCTGCTAAATACCATAAATGGAACGTAAACATACCGAAATTCATCTAGTTCCTTGGACTGAATCACATGTGTTAAAGGGCGAGCTCTAGATCTTGGTCCTCTAGCTTTATATTTGACAGGAAAGGTTTGGCATCGTTCACATTTGGACGAATAATCGACTGTTTGACATCACGATGTAGATGCAAAAAGCAGATTTACTTTTTTGTTCATGCCTGTGTTTCCCACATCCTCGTCCAACGCGATCGTCTTATAAAATGAAGAGTAGTTTTTGACATATAACCGTCACCTATGACGTTACCACTCCACTTGCAACTTCTTGTCTTCGGCGTCGTAATGGAAGACATGCCGATATGGAAATGCTGCAAACAACCTTGTCAACAGAGCTTGTGTTTGTACATCGTGTTACTTCCGCGAAAGAATACGAGTGGACCAATTGCGAATTGACCATATATCGAAAAGTTGGTCTTCCATCTTAACAACATATTTTCTTGTAAAACGAAGCTGAGAAAAAGCCGCCGTAGTTCGATCAAACGCGCTTCAATCTCATCATAAGATGACAGAGTTCTACCCCATCGTGCATTGCATTTTCAGACAAAAAACAATTATTACAAGAAGCACAAATTACATACGAGGTGCAAATCTGCAAGTCGGCAGCGTACTCGACAAGTATCTTGTAGCGCATGTTTTACAAACGACTTCACACTCGTAGCTCAGTACGGAGAACGACGTCCTTCTTCAAGGTACAAGTCATGGCCGAAAACCACGTCGACGACCAAAGTATCTTCCTGAGGAGACCCCGACACAATTGCACTCGGTGCCTCGTCCCTCTTCAGCTTATCCGTTTCCCATTGACAGGCCGCCTTCATTAAGCTGACGGCAGCTTCAACAAATCCTCCATTGCACTTTGTGTGCTATCTGTCTCTCCGTAACTAGTAACCGTCTAGACAGTCGCGCCCATCGTCCACTTATCCTTGTCACGATTGTTGCTCCACCCAGAAGCGCCCTGTGGACTGCACAAGGTCAGCAAATCGTACGCCGCTTGCAATGACTCTCCGTCCAGTCGTACTGGCTCGCTATCCGAGTCCGCATTTCGGACTGGCGACGTCAGTTCACTACTGCTGCTACCACTGTCGTCATCTCGGATGACATATCGGCGCTTCAACTTGGAGAGGTTAAAGTAGAGGATAGGAAGTACCTTCCGTTTCTTTGTCTTGGGTGTCGATACTGGGGAGCGATTCCGTGACAGGGCTAGGTGGCGACGACACGACGTCGGTTTCATCCACGGCCTGTCTCTTGTCCACGTTGCGCGTGCTCGACAGCGTCAGAAAAGCCGGTTTCCGCACCCGTGCTTCAACCCACAAGGTCTTGGTCAGTCGCTTGATCTCGGCGAGCCGCGCCGCCATTTCCTCTGATTCCCACCGTACTTTCTTCCGCAATTTAAACTTCTTTTGTCCGTAATTCTTGGGCACATGTTTGTGGTCAATTGTCCCTGCGCAGAGTTTCTTACTCACGCGCATGGGGTCGCACTGGAGCTGCACGGCCAAGTACCCACGCAGTCGAATGCCCGTGTAAATCGGCAGTCGCCCTTCTTCAAAGGCTTCGATCAAGAGCCTCGCAAGTCGCTCTTCTGTAGGCGTCCATTGACCTTTTCGCAGAAACTCGGTGCTCGTTTTCTTGCGCTTGGTCGGTGCTGCAACTTTCGTGTCGACGTCGGTCGCTTGGTCCTGTCGCTTGCGCTTGCTCCCTGTGCGTAGCCGGGGTCGTTGAGTTGGAGGCTGAGGCTGATTCCATATCAGAAGCCTTGTCGGAGAATTCTGAGTCGACGTGGAGGTGGTGGTACCGTCGTGAAGTGGCGCTTGGTTGCTTACTGAAGTCGCAGCAGCTTGTGACACAGACGAGCTGGGGAGATAATGTAGAAGGGTAGGAGTCGACGGAATCGTCGCGGTGGTTGCACTTGCAGTAGAAAGGGAAACGAGCGTCGTCAATTGTTGCTCTTGCAGTTGCTCTTGCCCTTGCCTTTGTTGCTGTTGCCGCAGCTTGTGGCGTTCACAGGGCGAGGATGTCGTCACTTTAAGATGCAGAGATCGTGGACCTGACGATGTGTTCATGACGCTGAGACACGTCAAGGCAGACACAAGATGTCGTGGCGCGAGAAAGAAGAACGGGAGGGTTTTGGGGGGCAAAGGAGTTTGAAGTTTTTGCGACGGGCGAGCTGGAGATTTAACCTCTATAAACTGATCATCTCGTCCAGCATAACTGCTAAGCCCCATGCATAAGACCAGTTCTATAAACGAATGAGCTGTCAAAAGTCATGAGCTCGATATTTCAGAGAGCAACTTGCATGACCATCACTCTCGCAGTTTAGCGCGTCATTCTGCACGACCTCGTATAAAGCATGCTGGACTCTGCCTGCAGATCAGGCGGCAAAGAAAAGAAGCACCGTAACCCTCCATATTAAAGCGCCCTCGGGGGTACATCTACCGTAACATCCATAACCCCTACTGACAACGTCGTACCCCGGTTACCATTCAACGCGTCCGCACGAAATGGTCGGCTCACCACCGGCCAAAGCGATCGACGTCGCGAGCTCCCCCACGTCAGCGACGCTCTTTGCGACTGCTGCAATACATGGATCTCCTCTACAAGAGTCCACGGAAGACACTAGCCACATCTGTGCGTCTCAATTGGACGCGTCTGTCCACCAACAGTCGCCCAAAGCCACAAACCCGGCGGGCTCTCGGAAACGAGTCTTTACCTTTCAGAAGCGATGGCTACATTCTCTGCCAATCATCGAGCGATCATTACCGGAGTCAGACGTGGATCATAATCAAGCACTGAAAGATGCCTGCACCGCTACTGGAGCCTCATCCTCAGCTGCTAGCGACTCGGACACACTCAAGAATGTGATTGTTTGTATGCTGTGTGATGAACCAGCGGTCAAGCGCGAGATGGCCAAGGTATGGAACCGCCTCAACTGTCGTCGTGGACGTATTGAGAACCATTTGATGAGCAAACATCCCGAGTTTATGCGGCTGCTAAAGCACAAGCGCGAGGCAGAAGGAGACCTGGCAGTGCAGATTTTCTTGCAGAATTTACGTGATGGGCGGTGCAATGCACGGACAGAAATTAATACTGGACTGTACAGTCAGCTGACGATTGGTGCTGGTGCTGAGGCTGTTGCGGTGGGCTCAAGCTCGGCTGTTGCCGAGAATATGGAGCTTCAGAAACGAACGTTTGGGGACTATACGGGGACCGCTCGTGAAGACTTGGACCACCGGAAACGCTTTAAACTCACTTCTTTTCCTGCGACTGGAATGGACACGGTGGCAATGGCTTCGCCGTCGCCGTATTCAGCTGGAAGTATGGCGATGCTACGGACTAATGGAGCGGCTAGTGCCGAGGCTAGTGGCGTGGACGGCTTAGCGTCCCCGGTGTTGTATCAAGATGCAATGATGTCTGCACAATGGCAGACGGTACTTTATAACAAATTGGTGCGTGGTTGCAAATGCATGTTGCTTTTGTTGTATACGAGCGTGGAGTTGTGACACTCACAGTTGCTGGGTTTGTACGCTTGTCTAGGTGGTGGTGACTGGAGGAGGCAACAGCGTCATAACGTCCGTAGCGACACATCTGTGGCTCTTAGGGGCAAACGTACTGCTCACTTTTGCGTAAGTGTTCTCTCCCTTGATGCTTGTGCTTGATATGGTCACTAATGATGCGTGTACAGCAACTTGTCAGCGTTGGACGAGTTTAACGCAAAACATATTGGCCGCATCCCGGACCCGTCCGACAGCGAAGATAGTCCGCGTGGTGTAATGCTTCCTATGCTAGGGTCGTTTCGGAGCCATGCTGACATAAGCGAGTGGTGCAGCTCTATTGCTACAAAGTACCAGCGTGTGGATTTCCTGATCAATTATGCTGGGCCTGAAGTGCTAGAGTCGCTATTGCTCGAAGACGCGGAGGAAGCTGCATCGAAAAATGAGTTTGCTCTGTCTAGCGCGTACGAGGCTGTCTTTCGTTCGGATAATCTGATGCCCTACTGACGTTGTATGTGCTTGCATGGCACGAGTTGTAGGACTCTCATTGAAGCTTTGAGCGAGTCCATGTCCTCGACGTGCTTTCCAAGCCCCGTTGCAGGCGACGACAGCTGGCTTTTACCCAGCTGTGGTACCATTGTGAACGTCGCTTCAGCTCAGGATGATGCTGTCATCGATCCACTAGTGAAAGCGTTAGCTGTCAAGCTTCACCCGCGCAATATCCAAGTAAACTGCGTGTTGCTTCCACTCCGGCAGGCAGTCGACGCTGCTGACGTTGAGGCTACGGAAGACATAGCAGCGCTGACCCAGTCGATCCTGTTCCTTTTCTCGCCGTCCAGTCGACTCTTATCAGGCAGCGTACTACGTCTCCAGCAGGACAAGACATTGTCACACGTATCTTCGAGCACTGCCGCTGCAACTGTGCAAACATGTGGGACTGACGCCACCGACGACACGGTTGATGCCATGGATTCCCATTCGATTTAAACGTGTGACGTACATGTTGTTTACAATTATCGTATTTTATCGACATGATGACGACCAACGAAGGTCCAAACGGGATATTATCGAGGTTTTTCATGCGCACCGTGTCAAGCGTGGCAAAAGCCGGATAACGTTGCGTGTACCACGCAGTCCGTACACAGTTCCATCACCAGAGCAGCGACGATCGCTACAAGTGTAGAAATCGTACTTACATGAAAGCTCGAACTTCCGCGACCAGGCGTCCCGCGACATCACTGGCTCAGCACGGCAGCGTCACATTTCCTCGTTATTGTCGATCCTTTGTATCAAAATGGGGCCGGGAATCAACGCAATCCCCAGCACGTGGTGCCATGAGATCTGATCGAACAACGCTGTTAAATAGCACTGATAGTGAAGCAATGGCTTTTGCTCAAAAGCCATTGCTTGGATTGCAGTACGGCGACGTGCGCAAAAGCTGGCGACCAGTGCTGGGGAGACTCGCGTCGTTTCCCATGTTGCACCATCTCGTGCTTGAAACTGCGAGCTTTTTCACGAAACCAGAAGAGATGGAGTTTGACCTGCCACGGGATTTTCATGCCAAGTACAAGCTGGGCGAGACATTGGGAGAAGGGGCGTTTGGGAAAGTGTATTCGGCGATCCCGAAGCAGCCGGAGACTGATTCGAAGGAGCTAATGCTGGAGTTCGCCGTTAAGGTGGTGTCCAAGTCGCGTCTTGTAAGTCGTGATGACTACGCGGCACTGGAACGAGAACAACACATGATGCTGTTGCTGGGCGGCACGCTCAATGTTGTGCACTTTTTTGGGGCGTATGAAGATGATGAGAATGTGTACCTGGTCATGGAGCGTTGTGTGGCTGGAGATGTATCAGCACGGCTGGATGGAGAGAAGGAGATGGATCGATCGGCAAATTTGCATAATCAGGAAGACCGGGCGAGAATGTACATGAGAGATATCGTACATGTGGTATGGCAATGCCATTTGCTGCAGATCTTGCACCGAGACTTGAAACTTGACAACTTTGTCTTCGCCGACGCGAACGATGACAGTCCGCTCAAGTTGACGGATTTTGGTGGTGCTGCTTTTTTGACAGCAGGGGCGTTCTTGAACGACGTCCATGGCACGCCGCTGTATACGGCACCAGAAGTGCTCAAACGCAAGTACGCGTTTCCGTCGGACTTATGGAGCTGCGGCGTGATGTTGTATCGGCTGTTGAGTGGACGCTACCCGTTTGCGTCTGGACCGTTGCTAGATGAACGCATTCTGCACGAAGCGATTGATCTGGAAAGCTCGCCGTGGTCAGAGATATCGGATGAAGCCAAGGATCTTGTGCACCGACTGCTGGAACGTGATGTTGACAAACGCCTCACAGCTGAGCAAGCGCTGCAACACCCGTGGCTTGCTCCACGTGCGCCACTATCAACTGAAGCGTCCAGTACGGCTTCAGCTGCTGCGATTGAAGCTACCAAGGGGATACTTCGTTCTGCGCTCAGCGGCACCCTCGTGCAAAGGTTGCAGCTTTACCGATCGCTTACTGTCTTGCAACGTGCCGTGCTGAACGAAGTGACCCGCTTATTGCCGCTTGAACTGAAGCGAGATGTGCTCGTACTCTACAGCGAAATTTCTCGTGATGGTAGTGAAGTCGTAGGGCTTGAAGCGTTTGCAGCATATGTGGCTGCAGGTGGCTACCGACTCACTCGTGGCGAGGTCAAGGGCTTCTTACGGAACTTGGACCTCGAGGGTACCGGTCTGCTATCTCGCAATGAGTTTTGTGCGGCATTGCTGGATTGGCCGCAGCTTCAGAGCCAGCATCGTGACGAATTTGTCAAGTGTGTCGACCAGGTGTTTGACGTGATCGATCGAGATGAGGACGGTCTCTTGACAGTCGAGGACATGGCCGAGCTGATGCCTTTTAAAAAGAGCAAGAAGCACTTTGACCGGATCCAGAACGACCTCAGTCGATGCTGGCAAGACACAAACCGCTTGACCATGAGCAGCTTTGACAAGGAAGACTTGCAGCACCTGGTGCACATTTCTGCTGGCGCGTACGCCAATTATCCAAAGAGACTCAAGCTCTAGTTGGAGACATATGTGATTCTAGATGAACAGTTAGATGTATTTCCACTTAGCCTCGACCTGAGCAGGTGTCGCCTATCGGACTTCAATACATATATGCATATTGAACATGTCTTCACCTGCAGGCAAAGGGAGCGAGTCATCGATGACCGGCACGGCACGAAGTGTTTGTTGAAAAATGGGCTCAGTGGACGAAAAGTCACACGACAATGCTCTTCCCCACTGCAACGTGCAGCCCTGCTTGTCGCACGGGACGGTTCAAGAGCTGGTTCACGCGATGCAAAGCCATCTGCAGTTTCGACACTTTGTGCTCCTTCAGGCACCTGTCTCGATCCCTGGGTTCCCTGCTACTGCTGCTGCTGCTAGAGTCCTGGACGTTGCTCGAGTCGAGACTCACACTGCGGCGCAAGCTGCGCGTCGAGTGCGTTGGCGACGTCAAGGATGGACCCGTCGTGGACAGACTCGACGAGAGTTTCCTCCTTGCCACAGTCAACAGAGTCCTCCTGTTCATCCTGCTGCTAGTGCTGGCGTCCTCGTCCACGTTCGGATTCACGTTTTCAATCACCACGTCCTCAATGTTGACAAACACGAGACTCACGGGCTTTGGCGCCAAGAGCATGACCTTCTTGACGTCTTGTAACGTGAGGCGGTTCACGGGGAACCCGCCCACGAGTTTAAACTCGCTCCCGACTCTCAACGTGGTCGCCACGTGCGTCTCGTGTGTCACAGTGCTCACGAAAATCGCCCCCGAGCGCTTGCGCTTGAGCGTAAACCCTGGGGCTGAACAGCCGCTCCATAAGACCTCGACCGTCCGGGGCGCCGAGGCGAGGGGCAGCGAGAATTCAGACGACGACGTGGAGAAGGAGGACGAGAAGGAAGACGATGACGAAGAGGACGAGGGGGTGGACGAGCACGACGTCGACTCGCACGTGCGACGGCGGCGGCTCTTGGTCTTGACTCGGGAGCGGGTCTGCAAGGGTACGGGGGAGGCGCTGGTGGTGCCGTCATTGACGGTCGTCGAGTCCTCCTGCATGGGAGGTGGGGAGGGATGATAGGAGGGGGGATGTACTTGACGTTGTGCTTTCAATTGTGCAACTGGAAATGATTTGAGAAAATTGGTCCGGAAGAAGAAGAAGTTGGAAGAAGAAGGAGAAGAAATTGGAGAAGATGTGGACGTGCGTTTTGCTGTCGGGCGCGAGGAAAGCAGCGCGAGCGCGTGCAGTTTGGACGGCAAAATGGCGAATGCCCGGAATCTGGCACGTCGCCACGGGCAAAGCAGGGACCGCGTGTAGAAAGCCAGTGGCCTTGGTCTGAGACAGCTTGTTTTTCACGCACGCGGTTGACCGGCTGGATTTCAGCCAATGACGACGTAGGAGACTGCGGCATCAAGCGACACATGGCGTAGAAAACGGCTGCTTTTCGGCATGAAAGGCAGTCGTCACGACCATGCGCGATGCCCACGGGTCCGGCTGTTCCCGGATTTGCACGCTGCAGTGATCGCTTGCAGTGACGCTGTCCGTCGGCCTGTCTGAAGACGGCACGCCAAGCATGATCGGGAGCCTGCAGGTCGTGCTGGCTCAATACGGTGTGCTCCGTCTTGCAGACTGGATAGCGCTAGCACGACAACGGATCTGGCTGATCGACATGAGCCATGCAAATCGTAGATCGTTGTTCGCTTGGTGTCATTTATTTGCATGTTCATCTAGGAAGGAGCGCGGATCCTTTTGCACCCGTCCAGGTCAACGTGGTCGCACGTCCTTCTTTTTCTGCGCCGGGCGGCCCATGAAAGACTTGACGAGCTGGCCAGCTGTACGACCGTGGCATCCTGGAGCAAGTGTAGGTCGGTCTTCTTGGCAGTATGCAGTTTTCTGTACACTCGTCCACGTCTTGCGAAAGCGGTTTCGTGTGATTTGAGTCTGTGCAGAGCAGTTCGTACGGCTTCACTACAAGTGAAGGTAGCTGAACTTAGTACCTGGCTGTCACCCGTCAATATTCTACTAACTTGCATGCGACCTCTCCCCAGGAGAGTCGACTCTCGTCGTCGTGTAAGCAGAAATAGCATGTCTAAAAGCGAGGCTCGGTTACCCCTTGGGAGCATCGGACGGGGGCTGATTCTCTGCATGTTCTTTCTGTAGACGAAGCACTTCGGTCGGTACATAAGCTGACGGTAGGCCGTGTGCGTAACCGGTATCGCGGTGATCATTCTCATCTTGAGCAAGCCAGACCGACCGACACACACGGGGGTCGCTTGCAACTTCAACCCCTCCCCTTCCTTCCTTTCACCGACTCACGTAACGTGCGTCAGCGCGATGTCGCTGGGTTTTATCGCATCTACCTTGTGTCTTTCGATTCCGATATTATCCTGATTTTACGTGATGTACACCACACCCACATCGACTACTTTCTCCTTTTTCGCCTCAGTCGGTCGACGCAGCACCCAGCCCAGCACCCCGTGTCTTCGTCGCTCGTCGCACCCATGGGCGACATTCCCATCCAGCTAGGCCACTACCGTCTCGGCAAGACGCTCGGCATCGGCTCTTTCGGCAAAGTGAAGCGTGTGTTGCAAGCCCACGTCAAGTCGATCCTCAGTCGTGTATTTGGAACTTAACGCTCATTGTTTTCCGCGTATTTTATCGTTTTTTTGGGGGGTTTTCATTCATTTATCCAGTGGCTGAACATGATATTACGGGCCATAAAGTGGCGATCAAAATACTGAACCGCAATAAGATCCGCAGCCTGGACATGAGCGAAAAAGTGCGGCGCGAGATCACGCTACTGCGCCAAATGCGCCATCCACACATCATTCGTCTGTACGTTTCGTTGGTTTGTGTGAGAAAGTAACGGGTTTCTCCAGGCTATGTAAGTTGATAGATTTTGCTGTGGATATACTCAACCAGGTACGAGGTCATTGACACACCGACGGACATTTTCATGGTGCTCGAGTATATTGCCGGTGGCGAGCTCTTTGACTACATTGTGTCAAAAGGGCGGGTGCGTTGTGCTTGTTGTATGGAGACTTTGTCGAGTGATGGCGTCTGATTTGAAGACTGGTTCTTCTGGATTTAAATTTGATGTGTACATGTGTTTAGCTGTCCCCGGAAGAGGCCCGACACTTTTTCCATCAGATCATCTCAGGAGTAGAGTATTGCCACTTTCATCGGATTGTACATCGAGACTTGAAGCCTGAAAACTTGCTGCTAGATGCGGACAACAATATCAAGATTGCAGACTTTGGATTGTCGAACAGCATGGAAGACGGTGACTTTTTACGGACGTCGTGTGGCTCTCCAAACTACGCAGCGCCAGAGGTAATCTCGGGGAGTTTGTATGCGGGACCTGAAGTCGATGTGTGGTCCTGTGGCGTGATTCTCTACGCGCTGCTGTGCGGCAGCTTACCATTTGATGACGAGAGTATCCCGAATTTGTTTAAGAAGATTCGAGGCGGTATGTACTCGCTACCTAGTCACCTGTCCGAGATGGCACGCGACCTGATTCCGCGCATGCTCGTGGTTGACCCCATGAAACGCATAACGATCCCGGAGATTAGGCAACATCCGTGGTTCCAAGTTGATCTTCCGCCCTATTTGCAGCATCCGCCGGAGATTGTGGAGCACGAGGTGCAGTGCTCGCACTGAGGGAATGCATTTTGCCTGTTGCTAACCGTTTTTTTTAATGATGCAGACTTTTAAGATTGACGAAGAGTGCCTGTCGCAATGCCTGGCACTGGCCTATGCAGCAAACGTCGGCCACGATCAGCTCGTAGCGCTGTTGATGAGGCGAGAGAATCATCCGCTTCGCGTGGCATACGAGCTCATTCTTGATCACAAGAATGCTAAGATTCGCATCGATGGTCAGTTCTCGGTGTTTCGTTGTGTATAGTTTGTTGTTATTCTGACAAAATGCGAATTATGATCGTAATTTATGCATAGAATTGCGAGATGTACGGACGGTAGACAATAAGCCCAAGACTTTCTCTACTCCCGAGCCGAGCACTTTGCTGCTGCCCGGGCGAGGACCACTTCCTATGGCAGCGTCGCCATTGGTGACACCCTCCTCAGCATTAGCAGACCCACGGAATTTTGGCGGGCGCGGTGTAATCCTTCCGGGGCAGGGCCCACGAATGTCAATTGCCGGAGGCAACAGTATACCTGGCTTTGAAGATGGCCACGGCAGTGCCGCGCCTACACCCAAGCGGCGGCGGTGGTACTTGGGGATTCAGTCGAAGAAAGAGCCGGCCCATGTCATGTCGGAGGTATACAAGGCGCTTTTCGTGCTTCACTTTGAATGGAAGGTGGTAGCACCGTACCGCGTGAAGTGCAGATGGCAATCTTCAGGAGAGGGCACAAATGATGATGGTGGTGGTGGTGGTGGTGGAAGTCCCGAGGAGGCAATGCTACAGCAGCAAATGCAGCGCATCAAGGTTGGTCTCCAGCTGTACAAGGTGCAGCAGCACATCTATCTGCTCGACTTCCAGCGTCTCGATGGTAATGCCTTCACGTACATGAATTTGTGCGCTCGAATAATCACGGAGCTGAAGACGCTCTCAGGCATTCGGCCGCTTGCAAGTGGCCACGACCCCCGATTTGGCAGTGATGGCAGCGGCAACGTCAACTTGACGCACATACATCAGCACAGCCCGCATGCTCAGGGCGCCCAGTGAAGGTGCGCGGTTCAGGTGCCGGTCCAGCTCGTTATAAACGCGCTGGTGCTGTTTGAAGTGTCTGGTCTCAAATTTTGTTGGCAGATGCCAAACACGAAGGTGGTTAACAAGGCAAGTAAACATGGATATATCTTTGGATGTCACATTGTGATGAGCCATGAGCTTGATTGTCTACTGGAAGCAGATCACGTCGCGTGCACAAGATCTGTCGGCATTGGTAGTAAGTTCGACGCCGGATCCGAACCTGGGAATCTGCTCTTGGGTACGCGACAGAAGTGTTACCTATGGGTCCTTACTCAAGTCTTCGCGCGAGTTTACAACCAATGTCAGTTGACGATAGCGCTGGATGGGGTCAAGGTCGGAATGGATGTGTGTTTGGTGCCGACACTTGAGCTTGCTGCCCTTCTGTTAGCAGGTGCAAAATTGATCACATCATTCCACAGCAGTAGTGTCACTTGTGTTAACATCTGGATCACTTGACGCTTTTAGGTCGCTCAGGCTAAACTGGTCTCGTTTACGACATCTTGCACTCACACTGTACTTGGCGTCATATCAACACGACGTCTTCGATATGATCTCGACGCCGAATATTACATATCTCGCTCCAACCGTGCAACATTCCGCCTGTATTATCCGTCTTCAGATCCGATTTAATGCTATCGATATGATACGTCGCGGTATGATGAAGCAATTGTGCTCATCGCGTTAAGTGCGTCCTCTTTGAAGCACGCGTGTAGTTTATGCGCACATGTAAAGTACGCACGAATCGGATGTCGTATCTCCAAGCGATGGTTTAAACGCATTTATTCCAATACAGAATTCGTACCTCTCCATCGATATTTGACCAACCACGGTGCTCGATTAGTATCCATCAGCATCCTAGCACGACGATGCTAATGCCCAGCGTGCGGCGCCTTGTGACGGCGCTGTGTGTGCTGTTGCTGGCCAAAAAAGGCTATCAGAAGCTCCGTCTGCTCGTCATGTCTATTGTGAAGCATCTCCGTGTACTTACAGCATCCAGAGCGTCCGATACGCCGTCTTGGAAGCTCTTGAGCGTCTTTTTAAGCGACTTGAGCACCCATCGCGTCAAAAAAGTGCTGTTAGTAGGGAACCACTGCATTGTTCAGCTGCAAAACAGCATCGAGACGTACAAGTAAGGCATTTCGCATCATATCACGGTGGTCCGACGTGACTACGAGCTGATTTGGTCTAGTTATAGAGATGTATACATGTATATAAAGATGTGTATAGAGGTTGATACTGATGTTGTTCTTCTTGATGTGCGTGCGTTTTTATGGTGCTGTCACTGTAGGGTGTTTGTACCGCGTAATGGGGAAGGAAACAGCTTCATTTTGGATGCACTCACGCGCTCTGGCGTAGAGTTTGGTGCAGTGGCGCCGTCGGGATCCAAGAGATTTGTGCCCTTTGCATTGGCACTCATGCCTCTGCTCTACTTGGGACTTAGCTATAAGATGCTGCGTGGATTTGTAGGCACGGACGCTGGAGCTGTGGGCAAAGATGGTGTCAAGAAAGCAAGGAAGCAACACGAGACTCAACGGATCACGTTCAATGATGTGGCAGGAATTGATGGAGCCAGGAAGGAGTTGGAGGAAGTGGTCGACTTTTTGCGGCATCCAGCTCGGTATCTGGCCATTGGAGCTAAAGTTCCGAAAGGAGTGCTGCTTTGTGGTCCATCGGGGACGGGCAAAACGCTGTTGGCTCGAGCTGTGGCTTCAGAGGCAGGTGTTGCATTTTTGTTTTGCTCCGCGTCGGACTTTGTGGAGATGCTGGTCGGAAGAGGAGCTGCCCGAGTGCGAGATCTCTTCACGCAAGCCTCGCAGTTCCCGCAATGCATCATCTTCATTGACGAAATCGACGCGCTGGCAAAGGTCCGTGGTGGACTTAACTCGAACGATGAACGTGAACAAACGTTGAATCAGTTGTTGACTGAGATGGACGGATTCGAAGGAAATGCCGACGGAATAATCCTGATCGCTGCTACGAATCGTCCAGAAGTTTTGGATCCAGCTCTGTGTCGCCCTGGCCGCTTTGACCGCCATGTCTACGTTGGCCTGCCCGATACCCAAGGGCGTGAAGAAATACTAAAGGTGCACTGTCGCAGAGTGCGTCTGGACAAAGAAGTCGACCTATCTGTCATCGCGGAGGAATGTGGTCATTCTGGTCAGCGCTCAGGAGCTCAGTTGGCAAGTCTGGTCAATGAGGCTGCATTGTTGGCAGTGCGTCATGGTGAGACAAGTATTAAGCACGTGCACTTCGAACTCGCAATGAACCGCGCTTTCGAGTCGCAGACGCGCAACATATCTGGATCTTCATTTGAGGTGACGCTGGAGAACTCCATGTAGACCTCAAGCTTGCCCGTTTATAAGTGATCCACCACCATTATGAAATGAACACCGCATAGATATTCTGAAGTACAAGTGCTGCGTTTGAGGGCAAAATGTGCGATTGTACGTTGCAAATACTGGTACCCCATGAAGCATATGGATCTCGCTTTACTTGCTCCGCTCATCATGTCAGTACTACTGCTAAACATCTCAAAACGATCGGGCAATGAAGTGCATCGACAAAGTGCCGTTTAAAGCTTCACATTTTGGCCACGAGCTTGTGCGTGATCTCTTTGTTGGCCGTCAAGTAGGTGGAAAAATGCAAGTGATATGCCGAATCAACTATTCCTGCAGCAGTTGAGTCCCGATGTAAATTCTTAATGGTATCGGTCAAAAGCTACACGCACGCCTCACTAAGTTATAGAACCGAAGGCAAGCGACATCAGTTTTCTCGGATCCGGGTATATATCAGCACATGTTTCTTTGTGATAAGGGATACGTTTTGGAAAGCATCAGCATGATGCAAGCTGGTAGACGTACACATTGTAAGTATAGGATAGGAATAGCGGACGAGGACACCTTTGCTTTGAAGAACATCAGCTAACTGTAACGTCATTAGTAGAAGTAGTAGTATAGCGACACAACACGCCCACGCGAACCGCCAGCAGAAAACCGGAACAGGGACACAGTACTCAACCCACAGAATATGCGCTACTTGAAATCGTAGCGCGACCTGATGCTCTCGTAAGCTCGACGCAACATCCAACCGTCGCCGTCCGTGATGGTCATCGAGCTCCCAGCCATCATGATACATACGGGCCAGTCAAGATTCGGTTTATCCGATTCCTCATAGAAGTCGGGTAGACCGTAGCCGTGACCAATTTCGTGAGCAACAATCGTGAGCTGTTCCATGTCGATGCTCTGCAGCATGTTCTCCAGATTGACTTCTTGGCCCCAATCGTAGCCTAAGCCACCTTCTAGACCATCTTTCGGCCACAAGGTCAAGTCGAACGGTTCACCTTTGCATTCGCTCGTGTCCGTCCAAGTGTTCGGCGCATTGTCCAAGAACCGGTAGCAGGTTTGGGGACACTGGGGAACTCCTTCAGCATCCAAATCACCTTCGTAAATCAGTCCGAGTGAATCGTCCTTCCAGTCCAGCAATGACATGTCCGAGACAGCAAACCCGACAAAATTGATCTCGATCTCGTCGTACGGCCAGCAGCCATAGCCTACAAGCCAACGGTTCCAAGCTGCATACTGACGCTGTAGCATGGGCTTGAACTTTGCTGCCATGGTCTTGGAAAGTTGTTGCTTACTATCCCAGCGGACGCAGTAGTTAAGTGAGCCCTTGTTCTTGACGATGTGGTCAAAGATCCAGTTCTTGTTGCCCGTTTGGTTGACACCCATGCGGTTCTCAAAGACCCAGTCAACATCTTTGGCTGTCACGTATTCGTCCGGATCGCCAATGACACATTCCCCAGGCTTGGAAGTCACCGTTCCGAAAGAAGCGTGCTCACCTTTGCTAGGAGACGCAGGCGTCTTCCCTGAATCTTCCTGTGTTACCGATGACACAGAATCAGAGGACGAAGAGGGTGTTGACTTGGCAGATTTCGAAGGGACTTCAGCTCCGTTGCTCTCTTCGTTCGTTCGGGTAGACGTGGCTGGTGAATCTCCTGTTGACGACGAAGTTAACGAGGGTGCTGGTGCAGTTTCGTTCGAAGGTGTCGACGAATCTTGAGCTTCTTCATCATCGGAGTCACTGCACTCGAGACTGAAGTCACTCTCCTGGCTGACGTCTTCATCAGAGCCACTGCATTCAAGACTGAAGTCATCGTCCGGGTTGACACCTGCATCGAATCCACTGTATTCGAGACTGGAGTCGTCATCCGCATCCGTTTCTTCATCTGTGCTTTTGGAATCCTTGTCTTCCGAGCCCTTCGTCTCGTTCTCGTGTCCGATCGGCTCACCGCCTGGAGACGTTCCAGCGTTCAACCCCGTCGGGAACGTCCTACCCGTTTGGTCTCCATTTCCACCCCCTTGGTCACTCGGGGGTATCCAGCCTTGGTGATCAAAGCTCCCACCCGAGATCCACCCTTGACTACGATCGTGTGAATTCGGCTGCACCCACCCTGGATTGTTGCTGTCGTCACCTCTGTGATTACCTGCCTGGATCACCGTTGACAGCAAATCGGTCGGCTGGGGCTGCTGGTCCGACGAAGGTGGTGCCCGCTGCTCAGGTGACTCGAGGTTTCCATCACCAGTTGCTCCAAAAGCACCGTCTGTATCGCTCATCTCGCCCCCAGGAGCTACCGTGCCTGGGGTCTGCACGATATCGCTCGAACCTGTAAAGTCGACACCTGAAGAGGTAGCAGCTAGAGCTGCTGCAATCAGCACTACACTTGAGTGCCAAAGATGTCTTGGCGGCATCGTGGACGAATGAACAATGGACTTTCATTAGTTTTCGTGGACAAGTCCCATCGGACGTGGTGTTGTGCTCACATTTCAACGACCGGGATGGAAAGACTACTGCCACTGCAGAAGCAGGTTGACAGCCTCGTACTGCATTGTCACCACGATGAAGATAACCGATATTTTTCAACGATCAGCTGGCTCGAGATCATCTCGTTGTGAAGTCCTTTGGACCTCTACTTGGTCAGAGTTACACGGTGTAAAGGAGTCACGCGTAGTGTTCGTCACTCTGATGCGCAGATATTGTACCATGTTACAGGTTTTACTCACGCTTCAACAAAGCTTTCTTCTGGTATTCAAGCATAAAGAGTTTTCGATCAACTGTGCTGTAGACCACTTGTCGTTCATTAATCGCGCAAGAAGTCATTGTTATATCGCGCAGCACATGCGGCTCAGCGTTTATCGCGCAGCATTACTTGCGGCCACGACGGACGAGCTGCAGCGAACCTCGTCTGTGCTCATCCCGTCTCTGTGATTAGGTAACCTTTTCCTGGTGGACGAAAGCTCATGCGCGTACGCTTTGTTTACATTTCCAGACAAAGTCTGTTAGTTCAAGTGAACGAAAGCGTGCTGCCGCTTTGTGCTTGATCAGTTTGCGACTTGAAGATTTATCTCGTGATCCCATAGGCTTCTTGGTCCCGGCTACGACGTAGCTGTGCCTATAGGGCCATGAAGTGCGTATCCCAAAGGACTTCCAGTTTAGTTGAAGTGCCAGACGATTGGGAAGTGACATGCGTAAAGAAGAGCTTATGCAGTGACTAGCACTTCGTCGCTATTCCTTACAGACGCACGAGTGAGACGGGTAGCCTAAGCACAGCTTGATCTCGCAAAACAGTATCATTACATTCGTCACCATTTCAACGCGGGACAACGGCCAAGACTGCACTTCAAGCAAGATGTCACTGTTTGCAATGGCGATGCAGATGATGCCTTTTTGCGCCAATGTTTTTGAATGGTTCTGAGCGCACGGGTACGTGTACGGACGCGCAAGCGTCTTAGACCAAAGATTGACATTGTAGAAAACAGTGGCGACGACAAGACGCCTGGTCTTGCGACCTTGAAGACGACCTATTTTGGTCGTCGAATCGCTGCTCTTGATCAGCAGGTGCTATCTGTCGATCGTATTACGTGCGGAAAATGGATGGTGGACTATCGACTGCGATTTGTGCTCGTCCGACACTACAAGCGATCTAAAGGGGAGCTTCAACGAACGTGTACTTTGTTGCTTCGAAGCTCATCTCACACTTGCAACGTAGTGTTGATGCACGAAAAAGCTGCTTCCGACCAGATAATGTATCGTGTGCCACACTCAATTTACTAAACCCACAGTCGTGTGTCTTGTCGACGTAGTGGTAAGCCGAGTTTGGCTTGTACGTGAATACCGAAAAGCTGCAGGAATTGACCGCCTGCAATGTGAAGGTTGCGTATTGTTTGTCAGTGCAATGATGAGCTAGTTGGAGCGGGCCTCTCTAGAAGACCGACGAGTAAGGTAGTAGCCACCGTCAATCTGCGTCTTTCTTGTAGACACGCGCTTACATCGTGTCTACGAAACAAATGGGTCCCCGTGAGATCAAGCTATAAACTGATTGAGGCTTGAAGGCGTTGAGGAAAAGTACGTGACCTCTGTTGCCTGAATGAAAGGTCAAGATAGATGAAAACGACATAATTACATGCTTGGTACGCAGAAGATATAATCTTAGCGGGTTGAGACGATAGCTGGGAATGCCATTGGATCAGCTGTATCGTTCGGCTTGCCGTAGAATAACAACTATGCACTGATCCTACACAGTTACAAAACTTATCCATGAAGCAACTCTACATTCCAGCGCTGAACGTTGCTATCCATCGTCTTGACGGGGTATGATGTATCGATTCATACTCTTGACGTCTGTAGCTGCACGATGGCGCATTGGTCATGATTCGGGGTCATGTCATGTATGAGGTAAAGGGGGAAGCTGTGGTGCTCTACTTGCCCTTTGATAGGAGTCGTTCAGTACATTAAACAGAATCGAAGTTCGAGATAAGCGTATAAATGGCGTTCCGAAGAAAAGGGGTGGATGCCGCTGTTGTGCCCATTACCCAGTCGAGTATGCCCAGCCAACACGGTGGGCCGTGGTCTTCCACCTTTCGTGGCGCACCACTTTTTCCATCACTATTTTTGTAGAGCATGTGTGTGTGAACTCGCTACTTGCAGACTCTCGTGTCTTCGCAATGTATGACTGACCAAAAGATATCATCTACTTCTGCATGACTTGTAACGGGGTGAATCGTTACATGACAATTTATAAGAAATTGTTAATAGAATATAACTATAAGAGTTATATTCTCAGAATATTGTCATAAGGACAAAGATTCTGTAGCACTTACGAGTAGTTCCTAATTGGTTGAAATAGGCCATTATATCAACCAACGAAGACGCGCCACGACAGACGCACGCAATGAGTGGTGAGCAGATAGTTGATTTACACATTTGTATTTAGACATAGTTAGATGAGGATAAAAAGTGATTTATTAACAAACATTAACTATGATAAATACAGTTCTACTTTTTACTTTAACCAAGTACTCGCTTCTTCTTACCGTCTTCCTCTGCACGTACGAGTGTACGTAAAGTCCGAGGCACCGCCTTATTCTGTCATCAGAATAAGTAGCTTGTACTGTCACCAGTACAAGCTTCAGGGTGCCCCGTTACACCTGGTAGCACTTCGTAGTCCGCCCAAGGACCACGTTCACATTTAACATGAATATGTTGGATGATGAAGATGACCAAAGCTTTCACGCTACGCGTGACGGCTACTCCCATTTAAGCGATGTCGAATGGGATGCGTTTGAACGGATGGGTTCAACCATGGGCATCCATACTGTTAGCGTCATGCTAGAGGCTCTCAATAGAGATGCCCAACATGCTAATATCGCCAAGTTCATTCAAAATGAACTTGTCGCCGAGCGCGAGAAAGTAGCCTTGCTTCACCAACAAGGTTCTCAACAAGCAGAGTTGTTGAGAGAACAGGGTGCCCAACAGTTTGAACTGTTGAGTCAGCAGCAGGCTGCTGCTGGTGGGTCGATGCATTCGCGTCGACCCGAGACCTTGAAGATTGACATCTCCAAGTATAGGGGAGTCAAAGAGGACTCCCTCTTGAGACGGTTCGTCGAATTGGATGACGCCATAAGGGTGCGTCGCATCGACGACGGGGATATGCAAGTTGCATTTGCCCAGTCAAATCTGGCAGGACGTGCCAAGACTTGGGCACTGGGGCTCAAGTTGCACGACCCATATGCGTTTGGGTCGTTGGAAGTCTTCAAGTCGCGGCTCAGACAAACGTTTGAACCGCCTAAAACTGAGTTTTGAGCTAGAACTGAACTTTTGAAGCTCAAACAGGGTAAGCGTGATGTGCACGCTTACGCGCAACATATACGGCATCTCACGAGTTGTATAAGTTCCAATCCGGTGGATGAACACACGTTGGTTTCGGTGTTCACGCAGGGTCTTGCGGATGGTCCCGTCAACACTCACCTATTCCGACTTGAACTAGATTCACTAGAACAAGCCATTTCCATTGCGGAACAGGAAGACTTCAGTCTGAGACAGGCTCGCGCCAGCTCGACATCATATCGTCAACCGAGACGATATGACAGCGGAGGTCCAGAGCCTATGGAACTCTGTTATGTAGAGAGCGAGAAGGCTCGCTCTACAGACTACAAGAAGTTGCAGAATGCAACAGATGTCAGAAGACAGGACACTACGCTTACGAGTGTAGTGCCCCTCGTCCAGTGTCTCGCAACACTGGGCGTAGTGACCGTCCACCCATGAGAAAGGGGCAGGGACGCGAGTCCGCTGTTGGTGCAAAGACGCAACAACGGGATGGACCGTCAAAAAACGGACAGGATCAGTAGGTGCGGAGCACCCTACTGGTCCAGCAACGTCAAGCGAATTTGTAGGCCTCTTGATGAAGGTTGCTCCCAACACACAAACATTGTGCGTTGCTGCTCTAGGTAATGAGATCTCACTCATTACCTTGAAACTCGAAGTGACAAATAAGTTGTCCCTTCAAGCTCTAGTCGATTGTGGGGCGTCCAACAATTTTGTGCGACGCCAATCGCTAGAAGATGGTCACTTTAAGTTCAGTGAATGTGACACACCTCCTACGAGGATGACGGTACGTCTTGCTACAGGCGCATCCGTAACCGTCATGAAGCGTAAAGTGAAGATCCACTATACGCTAGAAGATACCCAAAATGACGATGACTTTATCGTATTGGATTTGGATGACAAATTTGATGTCATCCTTGGAATACCGTGGCTCAGAAGGTACGAACCACGGGTAAACTGGCAACATTGAACAGTAACGATGCCTGCCGCTTGTTCATCAGATGGCCATCTGAAGCACGTTTTGGAGCGTCCACAAGCGTGTGGATGTACTACGAGTGAGTGCGATGGCCTCACTTGTGGTACGGTCGTTATTAAGACTGCACAAAACCTTAGTGTACCAAACGGTTACACTTCGGAGCAAAGTTCCGGCGGCTGTGAGGAAACACAGGCTGCGCCGAAGGTCCACCACTCGAATAAGTCGGGTGGACTGGGACAAAGATGTATCCCTAGCGGGGAACATCTAGGAGAGAAACAATCGATCGCTCAGGTTCAGCGAAACGATAATCCTAGATCGACTGGAGAGTCTTTCGTAGAGGATCTCGCTGTGGTTGCGCAACCCCAGCTAGAGGAAGTAAAGGGAATAAGTCCCAAGATTACAAATACGGCGGAAATAAGTTCCCCGAAACCCGCGGGAATAAGTCCCCGAGAAGCCGAAGGAATAAGTCCTTCGAAGCCTGAGGGAATAAGTCCCCAGGAAATGACAGAGACATTGAATGTCATAGTCAATAACGGATCAAGTGTAGGCGCTTATACACTAGATCTGATTGCGCCTCCGAAGTTGACTTCGGAGATCACTCAGTTGCCAACGCTCGAACATAAAAGGTTCTTGCGTGATCTGCGTAGTGGCAAAGTCAAGCAGATCTGCGTACTCGTCGCTGAAGACGAGTGTGTAACCGACATAAGGTCAGCAACAGTGTTTGCTGAGAACGAGAGAGCTCTCAGTAGTTCATCTATGGACGGGAGCGTCCTCGATGAAAAGACACGAATTGAGCGATATGACTCCCAATCTTGGGAATCGCTCAAGACAAATCCTCTCTATGAAGATTTGGTTGAATTCAAGGATGTATTCCCTGAAACTGTTCCTTGCGAGTTACCGAAGGATAAAGGTACTCGACACGAGGTCGAGCTTAAACCAGGCTCGAAGTACTGTGTCATGAAGCAGTGGCCACTGCCTCGTGAACAAGTACTTGCGATCGACAAGTTCGTTGCCGATCGTTTAGCTGCGGGCCATGTGAGGGAATCAACTTCCCTACATAGCTCTCCGACCTTCTGTGTGCGAAAAGCAACAGGAGGGTGGCGGATAGTGCATGCATTCAACAAGTTGAATGCTGCAACGGTACCGGCCCGGACGCCGATGCCAAGGAAGGACGTAATCATTGATGGTATGTCAAAGAGTACCATGTTTTCGTCCATGGATTTGATGGATGGCTTCTATCAAATCCTTATGCGAGAACGGAATATACCCTATACCGCAGTTAGCACGCCTAGCGGAATGCTCTGGTAATGGCTAGTAATGCCACAAGGGCTTAGTAATGCCCCTGCCACATTCAACAGATGTGTATTACATCTGTTGAGACCAGTACGAGAATTCGCGCCAAGTTATTTCGATGACGGATTCATCCATCGTCGGGCTATGGATGGAAAGTCGGATGTTGAGGTTCACAGGTACCACGTCCGACAGGTTCTTACAATCATTCGAAAGCATCAATTGTATGCCAACCTCAAGAAGTGTATATTTGCAGCAAGCGAAATACCACTTCTTGAGTGCATCGTTGGTAAGAACGGTGTACGTCCTGATCCCGAAAAGATCAAGGCGATCACCGACTGGTCTGTGCCGGTTGATGTCAAAGGTCTTCGAAAATTTCTTGGGCTAGCGGCGTATTTGCATAAGTACTCGCCCAACTAAGCCGAGATGACTGTGAACCTCTCTCGTTTGTTGAAAAAGAACGAGAGGTGGTTATGGAACGCTGAATGTCAGCGCTCCTTTGATGGTATCAAGCAGAGCTTAATACAATCCCCAGTCCTAGCAATTACCGATCAGGACAGGCCATTTCATGTGGTCTGTGATGCCAGCGATTTCGCAATCGGCTGTGCATTAATGCAGTACGATCTTGAAGGCGTTGAACGCGTCGTCTGCTATCAGTCGCGTCAGCTGCAGCCAGCTGAGCGGAACTATCCAGTGCATGACAAGGAACTCCTTGCCATGAAGTATGCACTCGCGAAGTTCAGAGTCTATCTATTAGGAGATAGACCCTTCATTGTTTACACTGACCATGCGTCATTACGCACGGCAGTGAACAGCTCGCACCTTTCACAACGAATGGCGCGGTGGTTGTCATTCTTTGCAGAATACAACTTTACGGTCGAGTACAAACCAGGACGACTTAATGTCGTTGCTGATGCACTCTCACGTCGTCCCGACTTTGAATCAGTCGTGAAAATCAACAGTGAGACAGTCACTGTTGCGGTTATGACGTCCTCAGTCCCATCTACAACTTTGTATGATGATGTGAGGCGGGCATACGCCCAAGATGGTGAGATTTTGAAGTTGTTGACACATCTCTCACAACCATCTCGAGAATCGTTGAAACGATTATCGTCTGCGTATCGATCTGCATCAGATCGATACACTACTCGCAACGGTTTACTGTATTATACAGCCGTTTCTGGTGACACACCACGTGTTGTCATTCCAGATGATACTGATCTGCGTCTGCGGATCATGCTCGAGTATCACGATGCTCCTATAGGAGGACATCGTGGCCGGGAGAAAACATATCTCACGGTGAGTCGAGACTTTTACTGGCCCCGCCAGTATCAGTTTGTGCGAAAGTATGTTCGCGCATGCGAAGCCTGTCAACGAGTGAAGTCAAGTCCTTCACTGCGTGCACCTTTACAGCCTCTACCGGTTCCGGCTGAGTGCTGGGAATCCATCTCAATGGATTTTGTCTTCGGGTTACCCAAAGACGCACGCGGGAATACGGGTATTCTCGTATTTGTTGACAGATTCAGCAAAATGGTACACCGTGTGGCTGTACCAGATTCAATCACGGCAAGCGGCTGTGCTTGTGTCTTTATTGACACCATCTTCCGACTTCATGGGTTGCCCCGTGAACTCGTATCAGACAGAGATCCACGATTCACTGCTGATTTCTGGCGTTCCGTGTTCAAATCACTCGGAACGCGCTTGAAGATGTCTACGTCTGATCATCCAGAGTCAGATGGTCAGACGGAACGTGCCAATCGTGTCCTTGAAGAGATACTTCGAGGATACGTACACTCCTTTAAGAGTTGGAGTGAGTTTTTGCCAATGGTAGAGTTTGCCATCAACAACTCGGTGCATGCGTCCACGACCCATACACCGTTTTACGTGAATGGCTTACGCCATCCGCGTGTACCCGCCTTACTAGAGTGTAACTCTGGTTTAAGGGGGGGAGGGACTCGCGAGCAAAAACCGATTTGTTTCACGCTCATCACGCTCTGACGAAGAGGTCATTGCGTTTGATGCCGATATCGATGTAATCGATATCGAAGAAGATGATGCCAGTGAGAGCGCGGAAGCCCTCACTAAAGAAAAGATCGATGTTGCTGCAGTGCACTCACAGCGCACTGAAGCTAACGAGTCATCAGATGAATTCATACTGGCTCGTAAAACGGTAGTCCGTTTTGTGCAAGACTCCATCGCCGAAGCGGTGGATAAGCAAAAGCAAAACGCTGACAAGAATGGAAGGGCAAACACTCTTTTATTTAGTAAAGGTGACTTAGTGCTACTGTCTACGGTTAACCTACCAAAGCATGTAGTGACTAACTTGGGTGGCAGTAAACTTCTACCCAAGTACATCGGCCCATTTCGTGTATTGCATCGCCTAGGCAATGCATACACGATCGAACTGCCACGTAAGATGCGAACGCATCCCACGTTTTACGTTGGTCGGCTTAAGCCGTACCATCAGTACGCTGCTTCTTCCGATGAAGAACGCCCCTGCGCTCAAGCATCTCGCAGAGAGCCTTGTGCTCTCGATGGTGGATATCGACAAGAGTCTGAAGAGCAGTTATCTCATCCCGAGACCGCTCAACATCCCCACGAGCTACCCTTAGCTCGTAACGCAGAGACGTCAGAGCTCTCTCGTTCTCAAGCTGAGCAAAGGCAAACTCAGCTCGATGCTTCGAGACAGTGTCCGCCAGTTGGAGACGCCTGTCCCGCTCATGCTAGAGGTCGCCGCGCAACGCAAGAGTTACGCGATCAAAGAGGCTCTCGGGTATACACGCTTCCCCACGATCGTGTGGACAGCGTCTTCCCTCCTCCTCCACCTCCATTAGAGGACTCTCGCGGTGGCCAGCGCTATCTAGTTGAGCAGCTGTTGAACCACCGCGACGTGAACGGACATCGGACGAGTTATATCGTCCGATGGCGCGGCTATCCCCCGTCCTGGGATTCTTGGGAGCCCCGCTCCCAACTGATGATCGACGTACTGGGTCTGGTTGAGCAGTACGACGCAGCACATCCCGTGCCGCAGAAGGACCGCCGGAGAAAGTCTTCCCGGCACAGTCGTAAAGGGATTTCAGTTGTCAATCCCTTCGTACATCTCACTAGAGATGCGTACGCGCCACCACGGGCTATAAGGAAGGTAAGCCTCCTTAGGTGCTCGTGCAGAGTTGTTCTCGCAGCATGGGCACGAGTCTCCCCAAGAGAGGCAGGGTAATTCTTTCTCCCTTGACAGACGATGCAGCTTGTAGCGTGCACCTGTCGGGGTTTGCTTTTCAAACTTATCACGAGCTTTGATAAGTTTGTCGCTCCAAGCGTCACGACCTACATCCTCAAGGTTATGGATGTAGGCGTTCCACGCTTGAAGCAGTGAGGGACCATCACGCTTGTGATTCCCACTGTACCATCGATGTCTAAAGAAAGAATCGATGAAGAATTCGTTTTCAGCGCGATAGTTTTTCGCGCTGGGGTCAAGGTGATGGATCCTTGACGAATCGAACAACCGTGTTCGATAACGATCACTCGTCGTCGCCGACAAGTGATCCATGACAGATTTAGGAGACATCCATGCCTTCTTCTCGGGGGCGAGACGCAATACACTGCGGTCCCGCTCTTCTTGCGACGTGCCGACAGAAGTACTGGCACCTCGTTGCGAAGTGATGTCCATAGGAGAACCGACACCACTGTGAGCGCCCCAGTCTTGCGACTTCGAGCGCCTTCGCTTCGGCGATGGTTCATCTGATTCGTCAGGCGAACCAAAGATACTACGACTCGTATCATTATCCACGCCACGCTTGGTAGGCGGCTTGGTTTCAACCGCCGTCGATACATATCCCTCTTCCGTATCAGGAGAGTATGAGACACCGAGCTCATACTCTGTGAAGACATGAGTGTCTTCATGACGAGCGCATGTATCACCAGGTGATACAGACTGAGACACTTCAGCAACCGATGACACATCGGTTGCAGCGGATTCTGCTTCGGCGTCTGCACAGAGACGTGCAGACGCGCTCTCAGCGACCTTGTTCGCGCACCGCATGGGCTTGTTTAGCATGCGATGAAATTAATGGAATGTGGACTCGGACCAATAAGTGCAAACCCTGTCCCAAATGATTTGGGACGAGTATCCATTCAGTCAATCAGTCACTAAAGTGACTGATGGTTAAGGGGGGGGTGATGTAACGGGGTGAATCGTTACATAACAATTTATAAGAAATTGTTAATAGAATATAACTATAAGAGTTATATTCTCAGAATATTGTCATAAGGACAAAGATTCTGTAGCACTTACGAGTAGTTCCTAATTGGTTGAAATAGGCCATTATATCAACCAACGAAGACGCGCCACGACAGACGCACGCAATGAGTGGTGAGCAGATAGTTGATTTACACATTCGTATTTAGACATAGTTAGATGAGGATAAAAAGTGATTTATTAACAGGCATTAACTATGATAAATACAGTTCTACTTTTTACTTAAACCAAGTACTCGCTTCTCCTTATCGTCTTCCTCTGCACGTACCAGTGTACGTGAAGCTCCGAGGCACCGCCTTATTCTGTCGTCAGAATAAGTAGCTTGTACTGTCATCAGTACAAGCTTCAGGGTGCCCGTTACATGACTACCAAAGAAGGAAGGATCTGCTAAATTGCGTCTATAGAGATGTGTCCTTGCACCCCGCGTGACATATTCAACCCTTCTCTTTCACACTTACTATTAGCTTCGCCCGCCCCCGGATCGCACATTTTTTCTCATAACGTACACCAAGGCACGGTGAGATCGTATCCATGTGCACGTTGTATCGCAAAGATGGTATGACGACTTTCGTGTCGCCTCACCAACGGTGCTCGCACTCGTATATTGTTCAATATGCTCTCGTTGTTGTTAAAAGAACGACACTTTTCTATGCCACCAGTGAGTCTCTTTATCACCACTAGCTGGCTCTACAGAATTTGCCAAGCCTTTGAAAACGGCACGGTAAAGGGGTTACACATCGTAGGGTATTCAGTACCCTTTGTCTTGGACACACGGGATGGTATCCCACTGAAAGAGATATAGAATATATTATCCGTTTACAGGGGCCGACGGGTGTCAGCCACAAGAAAGGAACGATTTTAGAGACATTGAATTTTGGACATGAGTGCCTCGATTGGGTTATCTTAGGATTAAGATATTCTATAGAGTTGAACGTAAAAGAAGTTCAGTTCCCCTTTTGATCTTGTCTAAGACACGCGCCTTGCGAGGCGTCTCTGATCGTAGATCGTTAAGTGGTAGCAACACCTCCCTGAGGTAGTTAGCTACTCTTGAGCACTAAGTGCTGTAGATTCACTGAATCGTTCGGTCCCCTGGAACAGGAATCTTAAAATTTACGGTTTTTGACTTATAAAATCTAATTCATTGAAACTAATATCGCTCTTTGAGCACTAATTCTTCCTCAGACTTCAGGTGCTGTGTAGCTCCACTACAGTACACCGTCCTGGCTAGCATAATCTGCACACTTTTCGTCCCAGCGACAACAGCCTGGAAAATCTGCTGGTGCTACTGCAAAATCTACACGCTGTCCGTCCCAGCGACAACATCTTGGAAAATCTGCTGCTACTTGTTTATCACGTTGATTTTAGTGGCTCATCGCTCAGTAGGTTGTAATCTTTCGGGTAGATTTTGACAACACAGTCGAACGCTGGGTGCTTTTCGTGCTGGTACATGGATAAAATGGTTGGTATTGCCTCTTTCGCCTTTTATTACTACTGATAAATCAGTTATGCTAGCGAAGATGTCTGCGTAGAAGCATCATAAAAGGCAGATACGACTTTGTCAAGGCTGTCGACGTCAATTGCCTCAATGGGGTCAAATTTCTCCCTTAAAAGACCCCGTGTTCAGATTATGCTGCATCGAATGTGAGGCCGACGCCGAAACCGGGAGTATTGTGAGGAAACCTACTCCTGCCTATGCAATATGCACTCTCCATCTCCGATATAGGACCGCGTCGACGAGATGGATAAATCCCATGCAGCTATCTGGACACGATGTAAAAGCTAGAAAATGCTTGCAATCCAAGTAGATCTCGCTTCTGCATCAATATGTATTGTTGAAGTTCAGTGGCATAGTCTCGTAAGATACTCAATTGTGCCTGTCGCGTATGTGCGGAATACACTGCTAAGGTCAAGGAAGCCAGGCACCCGTCACGTCTGTACATCAGATCTGTGTGGTTGTAACTTACATTCTCGTATTTTTACAAAAGGTAGCACTGATACAATTTTTGCAAGATGTGTAATGTGATGCAATGGTGTTCGAAAAACGACGACTGATTATGTTATAGATAACACGAAGCGCGTAAAACATACGCGAGACTCGACAAGCTCGTCTTTTGGTTCATCTCTATTTTGTCTCGGCACCAACAGGTTCAAGTCACGGGTTCTCGTACTGTTAAATAACTCCATTAGAAATTATTGCGTGTCATGTAATTGGACGGCTTCGCTCATCGAGTTCATCGATATGCGGTAATACCCGTGGCGACTACATGATGCAATTTCTACTTAGTAGATAAAAAATATTGTCTGAAATGCAAGATGTTGAAAGATATGTCGAAGTCGGTCGACCACTCTAGAAGAATATTAACATTATTGGTGAGTTCTGGGCATGTTACTTCGTTTGACCGAAAGAGACAGTATAACTTGTCAGAAAGTAATTACAATATTATCACTTCCACATTTTCACGGCATCCTCTAGATCTCACGAAATCGAACAGGTTGTGAGCCCAAAGCGTGAAGCCGTTGCCGCTGGTGAAAACTGCGCGCAGCCTAAAACACATACTGATCGCGAAAGGGCCAGTAGCTTTAAGGCGAAGATGAAGAGGTCATGACAATACCAAGTCAACGCAGAATGAGTAGCTTAACACGCTAATGAAAGGACTTGTCGAGCGCACGGAGCGGCTCGAGGATTCACAGGATAAGAGGGAGAGGATCAAGGACAAGCATCTTTGGATCTGCGCTGGTCAAGGACAGGGATACATCACCGTGCCCTCGGTAGGACGCCACCACGCGCTTCCTCGTCAGCGATGTCGCCAGGAACTTACTTTGGTTTTCCACGTCAAGAATACGCTATAAAGCAGCAGCGAATGTGGAGATGGCTCAGACGCCACATCAACCCCTGCCCCAGCAGTACGTGCCGCAGCCGGCGTATTGCCAGGCATCGCAGCAGAGGCAGGATCCTAGACCATATATCTTAGACAAGCTCCTAACACGAGGGCGAAAAAGCTAGGAATACGACCGTTTGATTGTAAGGAGTTGCACCAAGGACTCGGAAGTGGTTTTAGTTACGGAACAAGCAGTTTTTGAGGCAGATCAGGTTCGCGGAGCGAGCAAGTGGTTTACACTGGAGTGAAGATGTCAAAGTGGACATCCTCGGACACCAATTTTCCGGTACGGCGGAGAGGTATTACAACCGTCAGGTCGAAGGATAGTGGGACGAGCAACCGGCAGTCAAACACGCTTCGAATCGTTTGCTCCACAATTTCGCGACGAAGATCACTCCAGCTCAGAGAATAAAGACGTATGCGATACCCGAGAGCCCGAAGCGAAGCTGGACCAAGCAATAATTGTACTTGGTGGCCATTCTTGAAGCGTGTCGGGGAGCTGACAACTTAATTTAGGACAAAATTGTGCATTATGCAGACCTCAGCACGGGAGTTTCAATGCTGCAAGGCTGAATTTACGCACTACCTGCGATATGCGGAAGAGATTGTGCACTTTGCACAGTCAACGGAGATAGAGCTGCGCGGAAAGAACATTAAAAGGGATGTGTCAACACCGTCCACAACGAGCGTCGAGACGCTCGAAAGGTCCGACTAGATGAACGCAAGTATGACCAGTTTGTTTGCACGTGCTACAAGTGTGAGAAGCTAGGGCATCTGAAAGTAGCGTGTACAGTGAGCATCAATCAGCTGAGAGCGGCAAATGAAATCAATTAAACCCTACAGATCGGCATCTCAAGCGTTGGGGAAGGAGACTGGATCCTTGAATATGGGTCATTCGACATCTGGTGAACAGTATGTCACTGCTGGAAGACCCTGAGGATAAATTCAGCGAGTTCGTAGATGCTGACGGAGGACTTCTGTGCACAACGAGTCGAGGGAGTGTAGTGATTACGACAATAGTAAAGTGGAAATAAAGGTGCAATTAATGGATGTGTATTTGAGAAAACCCTGGAAGCAGCATCTCGTATGGACTACTAAGGCTAAAGGGTGCTTTGTGGATTATTGTACCGAGCCAGTTTATTATGGTTGCTGCACTGAACGATGGCCCAGCTGTGCTTGACGTGGACACATGCATGGTGCAGCATGAGGCGGAAGTCGGTCAAGATCCTTAAAAAAAGTGTCGCTTACGCGTTTTAACAGGATACTTGTAACGGGGTAGCCCCTTACATGATATTGACACCAAACGGTGTCAATAGGGATATTGTCTAGCATGACAATATTCTACCAATATTATCCTCCCCATATAATATTCATGCGCTGCTCAAAGATTTGTTGATATAAGACATATCAACTATAGATTGCCACCAATCGCTGCTAGACGCGCGTGATGAGTGGTGGGCAGGTTTTAGCCATACGACGGCTTAATTTAATCTAGTTAGATAAAGATTAAAGTTAAATTGATAGCTTGACTATATTAAATGCAGTTCTCTTTATTCCCTTTACTCGAACTAGCAGTTTGAGTAGATTAGCTTCCTCTGCACGTACGAGTGAACGTGAAGTTTTGCGGCACCCCGACAAAGGGTCCCCGTTACAATACTGGCACACTTGAGTTGTGACAAAATTATCAAGATAGCCGAGGACCTCTCTTCCGGAATCCAACTCACCGACAAGCTACTGGCCAATTGATTGGCTTGCGCCCAAGGGAATTAGACAAAAAATAGCAGTCGTGGAAGAAAACTGGCAGAAACTCAACCTTTTAAGTGATCGGGGAGTCATATGCTCCGATCTGAAAGTACCGATGCCTTTCCGTGACAAGTTGAGAGACCTTTAACTAATTATCTTTATCGACCACCGAAAACTACTGTCGCGCGTTCTTGGTCAATTACAATGATATTGCAGCCCAAAAGTTCCATCACTTTATGGTATTCATTGAGCATCAGTTCAACTGCCGTATTCACATGTAGAGGACGGATGGTGGATGTGAATGTAGGACGCTGAACTTTTAGTGCAAAACAACCGGTGTGCGCATCATTTAGGTGAACCAAGTAATTAATGAGCACTGTAAAGGAGGAGAGGATGCACGCACCATGATGAATATGATGCTGAGCACGGTTCTTGCTTATGGTCTGCCGCTGAGTTTCCGGGGAGTTCTGCGGAATATGTAGTCGGTATTATTAATTAAAACACAAGCAAGGCGAACTCGGGAAGGCAGTCACAGTTGGAACTTAAACATAAAAAGTGGGACTACCACCAAGGCCCCAGATCCTCAGAACTTTCTTTAAGTTATTCATGACACCTTAACGAGCGTCATGATCCACTGCATGCAGATCAACAGAAGCATACACGATGCTCAACTTATTCTGGGATAATCCTTCACGGGAATGATACACGTTTTTCCTTACCAGAGTCCTCTGCCAACTGGTTTTGAGCCCAAGACCCTTTCCTAGAGCTAAACGGATAAGGAAGTCACGGAATGGCCGGTCGGTGACGATGACGCACTCATGCCAGAGAGCCATCTTGCACGATCCAGCCCTTCCTCATCAGAGACTTCCCTCATGAGTATCACATCAACGAGCTCCAAAGACTATCCACTCACTCTCGCAACCCCGACAGCATTGACTGAAGCAGCATCCCTGATGATGGTCCAAGCGCGTCTACCACATGACGTCGAGCTCGCATCCGTCCCTCAAATACGATATCTGCTGATGGACGCAACAAATGCTGTCATCGAGGCAAGCACCATGATTGTGAACTTTCCATTCGAAGTGCAAGCCTCGTTAGCCGATGGTAATGCAGCCTCTGGAGAAGATGCCACGTCAACGATCGTCACTGCAACCCCATCACAGGTCGGCTTCCTCATACATCACAATCAGGAGCTACACCATCTTCTACAAACTGTTTACAACGTAGTCACAACAGTCCTCAATCAGCGAAATACACTCCAAGAGACAGCGACACAACTTGTCGAACAACGTTTCAAGCTGATGGAAGACCTTGCCAACCAGCGTACCCACTTTACAACAGAGATTAACAGAAGAATCACTGAGGTGACTGCGACGAACACAGTATTATCAGAACGCGCACGAGCACTTCAAGAGAAAGTTGAGCAATTCGACAAACAGTGTGAGATGGAGATTGACAATTGCCGCGCAGAGCACCAAGTCGCTATAGAACGTCTGTACCAAGACATTACTCGGCTCACACAGCGCAAATGACCGCCTACAGGCCCAACATATCGACACAGTTGTGACCTTGAAAGAACAACAATGTTTTAGCCAATCTGCTCAAGACTCGTTGGCGCAACTCACCCAGTGCAATGACCGCCTTCAGGCCGAGCATATTGACACAATTGTGGCCTTGAAAGAACAACAATGTGTTAGTCAAGCTTCTCAAGACTCGTTGGCCCGAGCGATTCAAGCCGAGCGAGAAGCTCGAGATCAGCTACGATTATTGATTGTGCACCATCGTGTAGCCCAAGTCGTAGCGCTGCGCCGTATATCCGAGTCACACAAGCTACAAAACGATACAGAAACAATGTTATTACGCGAAACCGCTCGTGCCACTGCAGCCGAAGATCGGCTGGCTATTGACGCCAAAATTCGAACTTCTCTCGAGAAACAACTACTATTGCTACGTTTCAGTCACGACGTGCTGTCACGAGTGTCATATCTATCAACTTCACGCCACGCACCACACGTATACCGCAATGAACAGTTACCCGCTGATTTACCCACTTTTTTGACGACACAAGTTTCCATCCAGCTAACGCCAGCTTTCAAGCACCATTGCTAATATCTCTCCGGCCAAGCGCCCTCAAAACACTCATGCCTATACCGACTCCTCTGTCACCGACATCAGTACCGGCTCCATCACCATACCAAAGTCAGTCACAGATTCTACCACCGCCGAAAGTGCTCCATCTCACACAGTGCCTTGTAGTAAGGAAGTCAAGTATGAGGTGATTACTGGAAAGGATAAATACCTGGTCTCGGTGCTGGTTTTGAACTATTCATGCGCAAGTTTGAGCAAGCAATTTAAAGTGAAAACAGACGTAGCAATTCAACTTACACCGACGAAATACGTGAAACACTTCTCGTTACATTTCTTGAAGGTGCCGCATCAGACTTTTACTTCCACTTTCTCGATGAGTTTCTTGACGCACATGGCCGCAAACCGACGTACCAGCAAGTTCAAGAAGCCTTGAGAGCAGAGTTTTGGTGCAACTTATCACAAGCACGCTTCAGCTACTACCTCAACAAACCTTAAAAAGGCAGAACAAACTTGACATGGATACTACACCTATTTACGCCACGTTAATAGGGGAATGGGCAGCGATCGAAACGCCCTTATTCTTGAGGCATTTTGCAACAATGCATCCACAGACCCAAGCATCAAGCTTCAACTCGCCAGTATAACCGACTACAACGCTGATAATATAAACGAAGATTTATGTAAAGCATTTACACTGCTAACGAAGCTGTTGGGTGATGGAGCCTCAAAAACAGCTGCTAAGCAGACTTCACCCAAACTTAAATTGACACCAAACAACTCTACGACTCGCTATAAACCAATAAATGGCATTAGACCCTGCTGGGTTTGCAAGACGATGGACTATAAATGTCTGACTGCCCCGTTGAACAGGACGCTCAACGCCGAGCTCGATAAGCCAACGCTGCCACAGCAATGGACAATACCGTTTCTACCAATACCAACGCTAATGTAGTTGATGGATCCACTGGCAACGCATCAGAAACAGCGGGGGAGTGTTTTTTTTTTCGGATCGGCCGAAGCGCGTGATGACCTGACACCTCTGATAAACCTGCGTTCCGCCAATGCCTTTATTGGTGGTGATGCATGCGTTATAATTCAAGAACCTGCTAGTAAATTTCCTGCCTTGACGTCGTGGCTAAATGAAGGCTGTCCTACCCATCACTTTACAAAAAATGCCGCTACCATTCTTAATCAGTCACCCAGCTCTTAACGCGTTCGCGTCGCAAACGGATCAGTGCTCCAAGCCACCAGAAACAGCAGTTTCCTTCTCAAAACAATTATTAATGGGGGGTCACCAGATTTGTACTCACAGATGTAGACGTCCCTACCATGCCACGAAATTCCCTTTCCGTCCTCAAGCTAATTGATCATGACTTTGTGGTCTCTTTCTCTGGTCACTGTACCATCCCCACCAATAATTGTATTGCTGCACGTGCCCCATGCGAATCAAGACTTTGGTCCCTTTCCGCTGTAACGGATACAGTTGATGAGGCTACCGCATTTATTGGCCGTATTGAGAATCCCACTCCACGGCAGTGGCATGAACGGCTCGGTCATCTTAATTAACAGGATGTCGTTCGTATGGCTGACAAGGGACTAGCAGATGGTATCAAACTAACGATTTGAACCATGCCTTTTTGCATGCAGTGTGCCGAAGCGAAGCAGACTCAAAACTGCCAAGGAAAGGAAGACACATTGGGGCCAGCACCTACAGGTGAAATAGGTGCCGATATAGGCCTAGATCTTAAGATTTAAATCACCCCGGTTGATCGCAAAGGACATAGGCACGTCTCCACCATTGTCGACTACGCATCCAGCTACAATTGTGTTTTTCTACAAAAGAAAAAGAGTGAATCTTTTGACAAAGTCGTTACGTTTCATGCAAGATTTCAACAGCAATTTGGTGTACGCGTAAAATAAATTTGATCGGATCCCGGTGATGAATTTGTAAATGACAAGACCGCGCAACATTTGCAGCGCTATGGAGTTATCCACCAGACAATTGAAAAGGATAGTTCCGTACAGAAAAGCAAAGCTGATTGCTTCCATCGTAAACCGTTCAATACAACTCGCGCGATGCTTTGGTCATCTGGCATGCCAAAATGTTTTGGGGAGACGCTTGAATTTACGCTACTACCATGAGGAATTGCCTACCCACCCGCGTTAATGCAGATCGCCGCTCACCTCTCGAAGTACTGACAGAAAAAGTACCGAACGTCAGCCATTTGCTCAAGTTTTAATGCCCGCTGCACTGTGAGGCTACAACATGTTGCCGCATATTTACATTGAAAACGATCCGAAACGGCGTATATTCTTGGCATCGACACCGTCAACAATGGATACAATTTATATTTACCCCGCACCAAAACGTACTTGACCAGTTCCAACATCAAGAATTTTGACCGCATTTACGTATCCCCTCTGGTGCATTCGTCAATACACTCGACACGTTGGATACTATGACAAGCTCTACTCAGTCCCATACCCTAAGTTATTTTGATCGCGCCATCGGCACCCATACCAAAATAGGGCCAGTGTCCGAGAGGGGGAGTCACCAGACCAAGTATACAGTACAACGGAGCCTCTCACAGACGAGTCCGGTATTGATCGTGAGTCGCGAAATTTGCTTCCTGTCACGCAAACACCAACAATGATGAATCAAATGAGCGACGAAATGGGCAGCGACAGCGAGTGTGATTACCATATATGTCACCCAATTGACGACATGACGCTGACCAAGCGACAAATTGACAGTATATTTTGTGTCCGCAATCGCGGTGAGAAAATTTTTGCCGAAGATTTTGATCTGCCTGTGTCCATTCTCCTTAATGTCACTAGTCTCCAAAGGACAGCTATGCTTGCACTTCACATATCGGATGGTGTTCCAGATCCTCAAAAAATTCGCGAGGCAACGACTAGTCCTTTCTGGCCACAGCTAAAGGAAGCTATGATTGAAAAATTTGATCAATTTGTACAAATGGTACATGGGAGGAAGCTATTCGCCCACCAGGAGCCAAGGTGGTGTCAACAAAATGGGTCTTCAGAATTAAGTGCAACCCGCACGGCGAGCTTGATAAGTTTAAGGCTCGGCTCGTGGCAAGAGGATTTACTCAGCTATATGGTGTGGATTTCAGCGAGACTCATTCTCCGGTGCTTAATATGGCAAGCGCGTGAGTTCTAATCACGCTTGGTGCCCAGTATGGCTGCACAGTTCGTCACGGTGAAGTTCCGAATGCATATCTCCGTGCACCAATCGATCGTTCAATCTACGTTAAGCCACCGCATGGATCCCCAGATGAAGGAGTTATGTACCGATTGCTGAAGAGCCTATTTGGTCTGTAAAAAGCGAAAGACTATGGAACGAACTAATTCACACATTTCTCTTGTAGAGCGAGAATAAGCAAAGTCGCCAAGATCCGTGTGTCTACTTAAAACATGAGCCCCTTGGCACTACAGTTGTTGGTCTCTATGTCGATGATGTGATCGTCATTGCACAAGATGACTCCTTGTCTATAACTATCATGCAACAGTTTCACACAGTATTTTAAATCAACGATTTGGGTTTTATTAGCAAGTGCCTCGGTATTAATGTGGAACCAACCAAATCTGGTTACTTGCTACAACAACACAACATTGATGCTCTCCCTTCCAAGGTCGAAATGGAAATCTGCACAACCCGCTCGACACCAATTAAAGAGAAACACAAGCTGTACGATCAAAATTCGAGCATGTTTAAATATAAGCGACTGTATCAAGAGATTATGGGATCTCTGTTGTGGATCTCCAACTGCACCCGCCCAGAAATCACTACGACCGTAAACATTTTGTGTCGATCGACGCACGCACCTACCATCGAACACTGGAATTGTGTCAAACGCCTCATGCGTTACCTTAAGGGTACCTCGACTCACGGAATATTCATCAAGAAACTTAATCCAGTTGAATCACGACCACGTCTCAAGGTTTAAAGCGACGCCTCATGGGCCGATTCAAAACCTGACGCGAAGTCAACAACCGGTGTCCTTCTAAAAATGAACGGCATACCTACCTCGTGGCACTTAAAGAAACAGTCCTTCGTTGCGTTGTCTACAATGGAAGCTGAGTATGTAGCTGGCGCAACAGGCGTAAGTGAATGCCTTTGGGTTAAAGACCTGTCATCCGAGCTGAAACGTACCGCTGACAAAGAACCGCTGTCACTCATTGTTAACAACCAAGCTGCAATCAAAAACATGGAGAGCAGCGTCAGCCCACCTCGCAGCAAACACATCAATATTCGGTTTCACTTTGTTCGTGACAATGTGCAAGCCAAGCGTGTCACAGTACACTACTGATCCACATCCGAAATGCTAGCCGACATACTGACCAAACCGCTCTGCCGCAATAAGCATGAACGCTTCACAAGAGCACTGCATGTCATGAGTTAAGAAGAGTTCAAGGCCATCAATTGAGGCCTGCTTGACTTGAGGGGGAGAGTTGGAACTTCAACTTACAAAGTGGGACTACCACCAAGGCCCCAGATCCTCAGAACATTCCTTGAGTGTAACGGAGCACCCTTTTGTCTGGGTGCCACGAAACTTCACGTACACTCGTACGTGCAGAGGAAGCTAATCTACTCAACGACCCGTATAAGTAAAGGGTAAAAAGAGAACTGCATTTAATATAGATAAGCTATCAATAAAAGTTCAGTCTTTGTCTAACTATATTAAACTACGTCGTCGTATGACGAAAACCTGCTCACCACTCATTGCGCGCGTCTAGCAGCGATTGGTGGCAATCTATGATTGATGCGTTCTATGTTAACCAATCTTTGAGCAGCGCACGAATTTTATCCAAAAAGGGATAATATTCCTTCAATATTATCTATCCCAAATAAATTTGAATAGGAAATTGTCATGCTAGACAATATCCCGATTGACACCGTTTGGTGTCAATTTCATGTAACGGGCTTCCCCGTTACATTGGATGATTCATGACACGTTAACGAGCGTCATGATGTACTGCATGCAGATCAACAGAAACATTACACAATACTTCACTCATTCTGGGATAATCCATAACGGAAATCATACACGTTTTTCCTTAACAGAGTCCTCTGCCAACTGTCACCACTGCAGATTCTTGCAAAGAAGGTCTCGAACCTGAGAGAAATTATGGTATTTGGCTCTCCTTGCACGGTTTATCGAGACGCAAGAACAAGTCGCTGGGTAAGAGCGGAAATCAAGGGCTCATTATTGGAAGGAGTGATGAAATGAAGTGTACAGGGTCATCGTCACGCATAATGTGCGTAACGTGTAGACATTGACTAAGGACCAGAATGCGCAATTTTGTCTTGTGCTTCCCGCGGAAAATGGTGTGGCAGTCGAGGGATGTGACAGTAATTCGTTGGGAGAACCCCACAGCTGGTAATGGACGGAAGCCCAAGCCTCGAGGACGGAGGAGTTACTGGACTCGCGAAGCTCACATGACTAGGAGAGCAGCGCGAAAAGCGCGTAAAAACGCTGAAGGAAATGAGGCAGACAAGTTTTGTGACATGGCAAGCGACGTGCGGGAAGTGGGCCCAAAGAATTATAATCAGGCCAAGAAGTGTGACCAAAAGGACAAGTGGATGGTCGTGGTGGAAGAAGAGCTGTAAGCGCTCGAAGAATGGAGTATGGATGGTCGTGGTGACGCCAAACAAGAGTTATGTGCTACACATGAAATGAGTAAACAAGACCAATACTGATGCCGATGGAAATATTGGACGTACAAGGCGAAACTAATTGCGTGTGGCAATGAGCAGATACATGGTTCGGACTATAGTCTTGCATTTCTGCCGTCACTGATTTAAGCACGGTAAAGATGATTATGATGTTTGCGCTGCGCTGAAGAGTTTCTTCGAAACACGGGGATAAATCGAACGCGTACGTGAAGGCCGATAAAGAAGAGCATCTGGATAATTTCCTGGTCATATCACAGGGTATGGGCATTGCAGATTCCACTCTACAGGATTTTGGCGTCAAGAGCAAGTCAAAATGACGCTGAAATTAAAGGAATCCCTTTGTAGACTCAAACAGGCCGGCCGATTGTGGAGCGAGCTTTTACACGCACAGCTGGATGGGCGGGGCTCACGCGATGCGGTACTTGTAAGCGCCTATACATTTGACGTCAAGACGGCGATTGACCGATTGTCGGTGTATACGTGGACAGCTTACTAGTCACTGCGTCCGGACAAAAGCTGATGTAATTGCTCATTGAGGAGACGAATTTTTTTTGTCGATAAAGGATTTGGATGAAGCTCGCAAATTTCTCGGGCTGCGCGTTAATTCGGTGATCCAAATGCGTACGCGTTGGACCAACATGCGTCAATTGAAAAGATGCTGCAACATCATGGTCTTTCAAAAGCATATGGTGTTCGCGCGCCTATTAGAGAAGAGGCGAACGAAGTGGAGAAGGAACCCATAATGTGACAACTCGGGCAGGACGAGCTGGTAAGCAGACGATTCGGAATTTTCAATTGCTCGCGGGAATCTTACTTTGGGTGGATTAATGCACGCGTGTCCGGATATCCGCTTTGGCGTGCACAAGGCCACACGACGCACACAGCAACTAGCCATGAGGAATTGGAAGTTGGCAAAAAGAATCGCTTGATACCTGAAGGAGACTAAGAGTACGAAGCGGAGAAATGAGTGTTCCAAGCAAAGATGGAGACAAAAATATGTTGGTGAGTTGGAGTGACTCGGACTATGTATCTGACAAAGCGAACCTCGAGTCTGTGACAGGAGGGGTTCCGACCATGGAAGATACTGTTGTACAATGGATGTGCAAAAAGCAAACCGGGGCGTGGCTTCCGAAGATAAAGGCCGAGTTTGTGTCGGCCTCGCGCATTGGACGGGAATCACTGGGCTTAACAGAGCTGGTAAGCGCGATTGGTTTTCGAGTGAAGAAGCCTAGTTGATATGAATGGACAATCAGGCTGTATTAAGCAACTAGAGTCCGAGGTCAGCATGTCGAGAGTCAAGCACATCGATGTGCGTATGAAATTAATATGCGATCATATGCGGAAGTGCAGTGTGAAACCTGAGTCGCGTCTAATGAAGGCGGATCTACTGGCAAAAGTAGTACCGGTGCCAAGAATGGCAGAACTACGGGAGCGGTTGAATTTGTAGTTTCTTTTAAAGATGGTAGCATGGGGGCGAGCGTGCGACGACCGAGGAGGAGTATCGGAGGCAATGCACGATGGTGAGAGGTATGTTGAAGTCGGCCGACCACTCTCGAAGGATAGTATCAATAGTGGTGAGTTTTGGGCATGTTATTTTAATTGGTTGACAGGTAAAGTAGTACTTGGAGGAAAAACAGATACAACGATATCACTCCCACATTGTCATGGCATCCTCTAGATCTTACGCGATCAAACGGAAACCACTTCTGGTCATCTGTAACGTACACAGCACTTTCTGTTGTAAAATACTTGCATCGTACAATGCATGTACACACCGAAAAAGGATTACCCCATTGATTGGACACAGTAAGTTTAGCAAAGAAGAAAGTTCTACGGGTAAAACGCGGATTATGCTGAAGATCGCGGGTTTTTACTCATGCTAAAATAATTACTGTAAAATAACATTTTCTGCTATAATACGTCGATGCTAAACTTATTTAAACCCCGGGATGAATTTCTTTTAAATTTTAACATCTGCATCGACGGTACATTTCCTCGGCTCGCTCGTTTGTATCGGTGAAGGCGAAGCAAGTTAATCTTAGTGTATCGTAGTCGATTATGTACCAATCTTGTAGTTCGGCCATGTACTTTTGACCCGCCTGACCACTTTTCTGCTGTAGACATCGGTATTGCAACATTGCATTGACAAGCAGTATTTTTGCTCGTATAGACCTCCCGAGTTTGGACAGCAAACGCTGTTACGAATTTTGTACCTTTATTTCGTTCGAGCGAAGGACTAGCTTTTATAACGACAGATGTGGCATGAATGATGTACCGTTACTATAGTTGGGACGATCGCAGCGGCGAGTGGCATACCAACGCTACTGGACGCTAAGGGTATCATGCATTTTTCTTGGGTGATACTTGCTTCTCAACTTGAGGCACCATGCTTTTTGTGGCTTTTACCACCAAAACCAACTGTACTTCAATTACTGTCTAGTTTCTGCAAATGTACGCTACCTTTATCCGTACAGGCATCTTAGCTATGGTGGATAGGAAGAAGTGGAGAGCAGCGCGTAAATAACAAACATCACTGCTGCTTTGTTCATCTCGTCGTACCAACTTAGGCTGCTGTATTCACTGCCTGTTCATCTGTCAGTCGAAAAATCGTTCGAGAATGAGAATGACACCGACTGCGCAAACGAGCTGATCGTCTTAGAATGCGCACGTCGCTTTTCTGGGGAGTCCAGCGCTCCTCGAAAATATGGCGGTGGTAGCATTGCCGTGGGCGTGACAAGCGACACCGTCCCATGCTCTGGCGACACTTGAAAGTTTCCTCTCAGCATGTTCATCTTGGGTATCGACAGTTGAGAGCCACTTGTTGCCATCTTCTCCAACTCGTCAGCGGGTGACAACGATCGCACTGTCGCTGGCGTTTTTGAATGGACTGCAGACCGTGACATGTTAGACAACGGCGTAGCAACCACGTCCTCCAACGATACGAAGCAGGTCGAACTCAATGGACTCGAAATTGCACCAAGCGACTGACTTCGATGCAACGGACTACTAAACATCGGATTGCCTTCGATCCAGCACAAATCTTGCAGCACGTGCTCTGGCGTCAAAAGATCGTTCTGCTTGTTTGCCTTGACTGGCTCTGGAAGCACCTGTGTCATTTCCGCGTCTGTAGAAGGGTGCTTCTCAGTCACCACTGGTTGTCTTCTCTCCAGCACAATAGCGCGAACATCATTAGCCGCAGTCATAGACCCTCGTTCGTCCGTCATTTTGATGTCCTGATACTGAACCTGATTTATCCCAGCTCCTTCTCCGAATCCAAAGCCCTGCAATCTTTTCCCTGATCCAAAAGTATGTTGCAGCACTTTTTTCTGATCTCTCGCTGCCGCAATGGCTACAGCAACTTGTTGTGACTGCGTTTGCACTCGATCTGCTGTTATGGCAAAGGTCCGACATTGACACCGCTGCCCTGGCGTCAAGTCATGGTCGTGGTTGTGCAAAAGTGCTTCTTCGTTGCCACACAATAGCATCTGTTCGACATCCTCCCGCACATCGTCACTCAGCACTGCTACATACAATCAACAACGTCGGATAAAATTAAACACAAATACAGAAAAATCTTAAGCCGAAAAACTGAGTGGGCAGTCGACCTCGATTTATAAATAGATTGATAAAAATAGAGGTACGTAAGCGCACGAAAATAAATGACCGATCACTATACACATGGTCGTATTTTACGTACCAGGATAAAATCCAGAGTCAAACGAGACGTCGCCCGGGTTGCTACTAAACGCGTCGGCGTCCAACATGGCGCTGGGACAAAATACGTCCATATCAATGTTCATCTCGACGTCCAGCCCCGCGTCGTCGCTCTCCAATGGCACGTGCAGCACATATCGCATATGGTCCGAAGCAGTAGCCAATATGTTGCCAATTGACCCGCGACCATCAAATTCAACGTCGTCTAGAGCGTTCACTAGCTGCATTCCCACGGGTAGAGCTGCCATCGTCACTGACTCGAGGGAGTCCTGTGGACGGGCGTCACATTTGTCTGCAAGTTATAAAAACGAAGAGTGGGATTATCCCAGACATTTCGTTGGCTGAAATATACAAGAATCCATGGAAAGAAGTGCGTGACGTACTGCTCTTTTTCTGCGCTACCTCCAAGGAGTTGGCACGTCTTTGCTATTGGGCGAGCAAAAAAAAACCAGGATTATTGGTCGTACCTTACATACGAAGTTGACGTCGGAGGTGGACGGTATACGACGATGCGGTACAAAGTAAAACGTGTATACACTCAACTTGCAGGTCGTCTATTCGGACTATTTTTGTGGCACATCTCAAAACAATCACAAAAGAAGCTCCACAGCTGGAAATCGCAGCACCTTACACCACGCCTTACTGCGTCTTTTTCAGCGCCTGTACCGAGATGGTCTGCTGCAACGTGTAGGTCTGACCGGCAGGCAGAACCTGCTTCTCGCTCACACGTCCCGGCTCAATCGCCACCATGTGCTTGTACTCCTCGTCCCCAAAGTCCTTCATGGCCTTGGCACGCTCTTCCCACGGGTTCCACAGGACACAGTCCGTCTCGGTTTTGACTCTTTTCTTACCGTCCGAGTCGTTCTTGATGCCTGACTTCCCCCCGGATTTCTCCTTCTGACTGGCTCCGACAGTGATAATGCCCTCTTTCTTGACTGTCACAGTGCGGTCAATAGCGTTGACACCCTTAATCGTGGCAGAAATGAGGTCTGGCGCGTTTCGGTAGACGTTATCCGTCTGTGCCGCAAAGTCAATGAGCTCCCGGGTCTCAGTCTTGTTCGTCTTGTCCACCTTGTCAAAATAGTCGACGCCCTTGAAACCCTTCACCTGCACGCCCTTGTTGCGGGCATCGTCCACCCACAGGTAGTTGTGCAGCAGTGCGTGGAAATCAATCGCCTCGTCAAACGTGTTGCGCACGTGCAGAGCCGTCTTGAGCTGGTTCGCATACAGCCTCACGACGTACGTGAGCTCAAACTCCACGGGCCAAATGGCACGGGTCAAGTTGCTCGACGCCATCGTAAAAGTGGCTACGCTTGGGCTCTTCTTGTCCTTTGCATCCTTGTGGTTGACCAGGGTCCAGTTGGTGATGCGGGCGAACCCGTGACCCGGGAACTTATCTTGACTGCCAAAGTTGGGGTAGATGACAGGGATGCCACCGCGGATGGGATCAATACCGTTCAAGAATGACTCGTTCGACATGAACAGGATATCGAGATTGGGATCGATCGCAGCACGGAAAGACTTGACGTGAGCACCAAAGAGGTACGCCTCAGCAGTGGAGCCGGACGGGTGCTTGAGCTTCACGGTCTCTAATTCCGCTTTGGCAGAGGCAAGTAGTGTCGCCACCAAAGCCGCAGTCTTACAGAAGAAGGCGTTGACCATACTACACGAGGGTCGATGTCGAGGATGAGCTTGTTGCGAAGAGAAGAAAATTCGGAATGACCGATGATGAGGAGTCCACCAGCTTTACTCTTCTGGGCTCTGTAGCGCTAATGATTGCCACATCATGCGATTGCATTCAATAGAGTGTTATGGAGTTGTCGACTCGGAGGCGCTCTATGTGGAGTTCGAAACAATATGGTACCGGTGATCGAGCCTCACACTTCCTCGAACAAGCATGCGCGAGAGCTTGAAAAACACATGGAAGAAACATGTGCTGCACTCGAAATCTTATGTCACGCAGAAACCACGACAGAGTTAACGACATGACCAACGCAGTCCCTCTGCCATGGAACTCTCACAGTCTGTCTAATGTGTAGCCAGCGAAAATAAAATGGGACCGTCATGGTATTTCGAGCACTATCCCATGAAATGGACGTCACGTTTTATATCGATGCGTAAAGAATGCTTGTAGGACAACGACGTCGTTTACCGGTCTCATGATGCTGGAATGTACGATACAACGATGAGTGACTTTGCGGTCTGTTTTCGGACATTTCGTTCTTTTTCGCCATGTGGTACTTAAATAGTAAAAGAGCTGCATAACACGTGTATCGCGGTATTGTGTCGCGTAAACTGCATCATTCGCGCACGTGATCGCCTGATGTAACGACGTGCGGATGTGCCAATCGCTAAGGCTCTTGCATAGAGCATTCTCGCGTGTGGTTGCGTTGCTGTGTCTTTACACCTCCTTCTTACACATGACTTCTAAGCAGACAGGGAAATTTGTTGATACAAATGCTGCATGGTGTGTCTGGTGCTGAGCGACGTTCCAGATTTGGGGTCAGATAATTTAGGGGCACGTTGAGGTCACAAGACAACAAGTCCTGATGAGATTTTTTTTGTATGACGAAATTACGGTCCGTGAACTTTTAGAGAGCACGTAATAGGTGATTGCGAGCTCGAAGGGTGAAGCTGTTAGTGACTGTGCGCTAGATTGAATGCCGAACTTTTAAATCGTTCTTATACGTTGCGCAAGGTTGAATGCCGAACTTTTAAATCGTGCTTATCTGTCGCTCTTTCTGTGTTTGTGTGCCTGTAAATAACACGATTAGGTGTACCTTACCCGTACTAAGAGCGATCTAGTCCGTCTCCTCCTCATACGTTTACAGGTACATTCAAAGTCACTCTTTTGCTACGTCACTTTTGTGACACACGCACGTGATTGCCTTCAAAGCAATCAAAGTGAATGTGATCACACAAGCAAATGCTAGACGCTCATCAACAAAGGCTATTCACTTTGTCCTATCCAACTGTACTAGGTTGATGCAGACATTGAGAGCATCATACTCATTCTTCATTGTGACTGCTGTTGTATGGTGTTTTGCAGCTTAATTCGGTTCTCCAAACTGAATTACTTACATCAAAGGGCGAGCTCCTGAGCTTGCTCCCCTATCTTAAATATAATCTAGGTATCACCATATAGATTGTCATAATAGAATTAACCAGCACATGTGCACTTCATTTTATCTTTTATAAATTGATTTTGCCGAAACGGACAAATCTCATAAAATGGGAGCCGCTTTGGCTACATACACTATTACTACGGCCACAGACAACCTACTACAGCCACAAACAATTTATCCAGCCAACTCCAGAATAGAAAACTTAATTGTAACTACGCACTCCAGCAAATCAAATCACCTGTTTACATGCACGCTTCTTATGCGTTTCATTTTAACTTCGTTCTAGCGTAATTTTCAGTTCTTTTCTAAGTGTCAACTGCCATTTACGTATGATGAAAAAATGCTCTACGGATCTGAAAGTTAAAACGGTTGTTGCCGTTGATGAGTATCCTTAACAGGATGACTTACCATTGCCGCGAGAGGTTGACTTCGACCCTGAGCGTTGACCGGGCATACTGCAGATGAAAGTCAATGTCTTGTTATATGATAAGCACCGTACGCTGGCGGCCTTCCTCTTTCTTAAGGTATCATCCTTTCTGTATATTAAAGTGAGGAGGGTCTTGTCGTATGAGGTGTCGATGCTCGTCCCGCTTGACCTACTTATCGTTCGAGTGACTTTCGGTTCTTTAAGGACTGGTAGATTTGATAGTGTAAACGGCGTTAGTACCGATTGAATAAATAAATGGAAATTTACCGCCACAAAAAGATACCTGCGATAATTCCGTCAGTTTGTTCACGACTGCCTCTTTCTCATGTCGAGGTGCATCGCTAAAATTGTCTCTTTATGTTTCAAAAAGAACTGGTAAAGCACCATTCGGGTGGTCTTTAACAAAAGGTCTTTCTGAAGGAAGTTGATGAAGGGGCCAATGAACGTCGAAATCGTTTAATTCCAGTCTACTCCCCTCTGAGATGATCAACCTTAATTTGTGCTCGCAGTTTGTTCCCCAGATGGTAGTAAAGTGAAAGCGCATGGCTTCGCGTTGATTGTCATGGGACGTCAAGCCTTTTCCAGCTGTCATTGCGAAACGTTAGTGATCTAAATGAAAAGAAGAAGATAAAACTATAATACTTTTATAGCCCAAATACTTTCCAAAGGGCGTGATAAAAACATTCTAATTTACACTTTGAAAAATATCACCACGCGTGGTCGGCTGCGTAAAAGCAAGTATTTCATTTGCCTCTTCGCCAGTTCTGTGGTAAATCCGGTCTATAAAACGATTTCGATTGAATTTTTCATATGTTCGCAGCACAAAACAGACCGTTTTAGCTACTTACAATGAACTCTTTCACGACGTTGTGGTCACCTTCTCTGTGTGAGATGATTTTGTAAACAAAGTGCCAAATCGAATTTGTTCATGCCCAAAAGAATTTCTGCTTGTGGAAATCAGTTCACGTTTTGACAAGATACTCCCCAGTTTCCATGTGGCGTTAGGTACGCGTCAGTTGAGAAACTCCCCATTTTTCTGCAAACTTCTTGATCGTGTTCGAGTGAAACACCTGGACAATAAGGAATAAATTAGAACTTAAATTAACATGAACAACGCATTATCGATCTCAGAAAAATATCAGCGTACCAATCTCCAATCCTTTGCAAGCACTATCCAATCCTTAACATCCCTCCTAGTAAAACGGGGCCTGCATTTGGCGATGACGTTCTTCTTAATGTGCCAAATTCATAGCAGAATGGTTGCTAAAGGAAATACAATCCGCAAAGCGTTCATGAGAGCTAGTTCTATACCAATAACAAAACTCTGGGATCATAATCGACATCAAATAATCGACGTAGAAAGTTGATAACGGTAACATACGAGTCTACATCCTCGTTATTAGTGAAAACGAAAGACGCCGAGATTTTCGAATATAGCATCGTATTTCCGGCAGCGTAAAAATCTCGTCCTGCTTGTTTTTACATGCAATTAGCGAAGAATCGTCGCAATTCTTCTTAAAGAACCCCATTGTTGTTTGGATGAGCAAGGAGCGAATTTGTGATGCGCCCATCGGTATCTTTCTCGATGTTACCCTTATATTTAGTATCCGTGACGGTTTGGAACAACATATTCATGAAGGTCAGTCCATCGAGTTAATTACAACATCCTATTGCTTCATGCTCCAAGATTTCGCTTCTATTTCCAATTGCTGGCCTTGTCTAGCCTGATGGTTTAAACCCGTCTGGATTTCAAATAAGTATGAAACGGCACATCAATCTGCCACTCTAAGGACACCGAGACACGAGTGTGGACTGGATGATCTGTCATAGCGGTGTAGGGTTCTAGACTACGCTCGTTACAAGTGCTAGTGAAGGCCACGGTGCTGTCTATTATATAGGAGGAAAATGCTGATGTGAACGCTTTGATTCCTCGGTGAATTCATTTAACCCTGATGTGTAGCTTTACCTTTCGCTTCCATTCCAATATCTTCACAAGGAAAGTCAATAAGTGCACTGCTATTTGCCTTCCGAACCCTTGTAAGTTCTGTACAAGTCCATGACGTTTTCGATGTACCCCACCTACGATCGCATTTGTACTAAACAACGTGTCGTCCATCACGTTACTTGTGTGAGAACTTCGTTACGATTCCATATCCATTCGCCATAGATTCCATATTCAAATGTTCTTCCATAATATTCTGCGTGGTGAAATTCTCATTGGTCTGCTACTCCATGTACACGCCTGTTGCAAGTGCTGAAATGCTTAAATATGCGAATTATGCTGGGTAGATCTGAATCTGTAGTCGATTTTTAGATGTATTTATTAGGGTGGCGAGTGGTTATCGACCGATGGCAATTGTTAGGATTAAGAAGCAATATCTGGCGCTCGCCCTTTGATGTAAGTAATTCAGTTTGGAGAACCGAATTAAGTTGCAAAACACCATACAACAGCAGTCACAATGAAGAATGAGTATGATGCTCTCAATGTCTGCATCAACCTAGTACAGTTGGATAGGACAAAGTGAATAGCCTTTGTTGATGAGCGTCTAGCATTTGCTTGTGTGATCACATTCACTTTGATTGCTTTGAAGGCAATCACGTGCGTGTGTCACAAAAGTGACGTAGCAAGAGAGTGACTTTGAATGTACCTGTAAACGTATGAGGAGGAGACGGACTAGATCGCTCTTAGTACGGGTAAGGTACACCTAATCGTGTTATTTACAGGCACACAAACACAGAAAGAGCAACGGATAAGTACGATTAAGTTCGGCATTCAACCTAGCGCACAGTCACTAACAGCTTCACCCTTCAGCTCGCAATTATTAAAAATCACTTGCATTTTTGAGCTGTGATTGGCTGGGTCCATTATTTGTGGCCATAGTAGTTTAGGCTGTGGCCGTGGTTTTAATGTCTACGGCCATAGCGGCTCCATTTTAAACATTGCATAATATGGGTCAAAGACAATGAAATAGAAAGAGTTGGTTTTGGCTGTTCCTTAGCCATCACGTCGATACACAAATTGGCTTAAGGAATCAAGATGAGTATCCTTGCACAGTAGTGCACAGGCGAGTGTTTGATTATGAGAAATCTCAACTAAGGCATCAACCAAT